TTCTTTGTATACTTATATACGTTTTTTATTATATTTATGTGGGTACTTTCAATCCCCTGCTCTCTTAGACTTAGCCATACATATTTATGTAAGAGGCTATCAAAAGCCTTAGAATAGTCAATAAAGGCCAGGTAAACTACAACAGCCAATGTTGTATTCGTTGAATTTTTGTATAAGCTGTTTTAATTGTATGTATATGATCAATTGGGTTTAAGTCATTTCTGAATCTTGCCTTGGTTGGTTTTCGTCCAGACTGTAAGATATTCTGTTTAGAATCACGTAAGTAACTGTAACTTAAACTGTCAAACACCAAGCGGTCACCGGTGACCGCAATCTATTGTTCTATAATTGTGTCTACAAAACCGGTACTCGACGAGTTAAACTGTAAGTACGGTACCAAAACGCTTCAAAATAAAATTAACCGTTTCATTTGGAAATTCATTTATTCTTAGCATTCGTTAACATCCATTTCTGTAGTGCTTACAACTAATCAACATTGATAATACATAAATGCAAGTATTTGGCTACAACTAATAACGTACTAGGGCACCATATCATAATGGAACTGTAGTCGTATGACCAGTCGCACAACCGAAGTAAGTATCTACAGAAACCAAGTACAGGGGTAGCTATGGTCGCAGACATCCAATTTGTTGCGCATCTAAGTTGACACTAACAACCTACACATTGTTAGTTGTAGTCTCATCATCAATAACAGGGAACTTTAAAAGTAGGATTTATCACAATCTCCACGCTTTGGCAAGCGGGTTAGAGATTGTAGTTCAAAAAGTATCAATGCAATATCTCCCTATCATTGCGAGATAACTAGTTTCAAGCCAACAAGGCTCATTATAAGAAATCGTTGTTTCGGGTCTGGTGTCATGTGTATGTGAACTTGTATGTTTGTAAACGCACCCACGATACAGGAGAAAGTCTTAGTGTGAAGTAATGTTTTTTTTAACAACGATTGCGCAACGTGGTCGTACGACAAAGATGTATGAAATAGATTTGTCATATTAAAGAAGAACTGTAAAGCTTTTAAAGTACCTACAATTGTATGGTCAAAGGTCAAAAGTCCACTGCCACCGTAAGACTACTATCGGTTGCGCTGCAGCGCTTATAACACACATGCACACGCATATTTTTATCCGTGTGCGTACGCGTGCGTGTGTTAATGCTTACGCACGCGTTTTTATGCACATTAATATGAAATTACTTACGCATTGCCATGTGAACATCACTCACGGTGGCAGTGGACTTTTGATCTTTGACTGTACAAACATCATAATCATTTATCGTTATAAACGAAACATTAAAGTTGTTGGTCATAATGTCGCAAAATGTGGTTTATTGCAAAACACAAGAATATAAAGTCTTCATTAAGGTTTCAACATATTTGGCATGAGATAATACAATAATATAAAATGTATTCTTCAGACTACATTGGAAGGTACGAAACTTGGATTGAAAAAAATACAAAAATGCATCTATACCTAAAATAAAACATTAAAAACTGCATACCAAAAACAGATCTTAAAAATAGTTTCAGTACAAAATACAAGGTAATACAATCATTGAACTTTTATTTGTGTCAGTACTAGGACCTAATAAACTTAGTACAGTGCATATTTTAACCAAGTGCAATTTATATTAGGCTTTTGAACTTTAAATTGTGATTTTCGTTGAATTCATTCTTTCATCGAAACAAGTGCCTGAGGCCTCCTAACGTATTATGCAACCCTAGTATTCTTAAACATAAATTATAAGTACATTTAATTTTAATCTTGACTAAAAGTTTTGACTAGTAAACTAACTATATAATCTAATAAAATAAATAAAAAATAATTTTTTAGGCCTTAAATTAGGAACAATTAAGTATTTTAAATAGAGCTAATACAATTTATAATATATTACGTATTTTCATATTGTGATAGTTTTAGACAAGCTAAAGCTTTACACAACAATTCAAAAGAGGTAGTTCATTAAATAATAATTATGTAAAATATTGCTTACAATATACGGGTACACACTTAAGAAAATTATAAAATTATGTTTGTATTATTTGTGCATAATTTAAAGAGATATCTATGATTAAAAACTAGGAAACATTGTCATCAAACTTGTCCCAATGGAATGATGTTGGAATGACTTGGAGACAAAATGCACTGGGGCTTCGGTGCGCAGAATTAATAAGTAACAAGAAATAACAACATGGCAAACATTAAAATATAACAAAAATATATGCAATAAATGGGCAGTGTCATAGCTAATTCAACATAAATCTAATTTGTCCTCAAAATGAAGGATTTTTTACAACTTCCTTAGAAATAATACATTGTGCTATATTGTCATAACTGGACAGTAATAAGCATGTAAATGCAAAAACAAAGAATCATATTATAATAATATAAGTTTTTTCGGTAACTGGGTAGATGACTAATTTCTATTTCAATGTCCGTCTGGTAGATTATTTTAAAACATTAGACACGTATTTTTTATTTTCTAACAGAAAAAAACAATTTCGACGATATATTTATTTCAAACTAGCGACCCCCCCACTCAACCAAGACCAGCTCCATTCCCGAACTCATAGCAGTTTGGTTGTAGAGATAAAGGCGCTTCTTTTTTCTTGCTTCAAAGATGACATAAATATCGAGATCGCTTGGATTCCTGGTCACTCTGGCATATGTGGTAACGAGTGTGCGGATTCATTGGCCAAATTTGCGGCCTCGAATGAGGTCGAACGCCAACACTACGTTGTGTACGGGTATGATATACGTGCCGACACAAAACACAAGCTGTTTGACTCATGGGCTGCAGTGTGGGTAGAAACTTCCAAACGGAAAGGTGCCTACTATGCAGTTGTCCAGCCCGGCATCCGACGGAAACCTTGGTTTTCCAAGTACCCTAAGCTTCCCCGTCATACTGTTTCATCCTTGTGTAGGCTCAGACTCGGCCATTGTAGTAGTCCGGTCTTCCTCAACAAGATCCGTGTCCGCGACAGCTCGCTGTGCGAATGCGGCCTTGATGAGGGAACCTTAGAACACATATTTTTTTCGTGTCCCTTAAATTCCCAATCCTTTGACCTCTATAAAAAACTTCCCAGTATCCAAATCCCACTCCCAATCAGTTTCCACCTCCTTTTAACTCACTTTTCCCACAAAGTAATTATTTATATATGTAAATTTATGAATGAAAATGTGATCAAAATGTGACGGTGTCCAATGATGTATATTATCTGTCTATATTGTGTATGTCCCCCAACTATTTTTTACACCACTGTATAATACAGTAAAATAGTTGATAATGTTTATGTTTTACTAACCCAATTGTTTTGTCCTTTCAGCTACTAACAACTAAAAACTACCGCAAAGTTAAGTTCGACGGTCCAATAATTTTGCCGTCACCACTCGACACTGGCAGTATAGTCGACAACACCATTTTGGAGACTCAGTTGCCAAAAAAAAAAAAAAAATATTATCTCATTACCTAACAGACGGACTAATTAGATTTTTAATTTTCTTACACCGTCATCATCCCTATTAGCATAATAATATATAAACTCTTGTTATATGTCCCACATCACAACATACAAAGAGGATATTTTGTACGATTTTTAACTTTAAATCTAGGTTGGCTTGTTTCTTATCACCTAGATTGTATAAAACGATGATTCGTCTGTATATTCTTAGAACATCTCAATCATAATCTCAATAAGACAATCTTATGCGTGTTTTACTAAATAATAACAATACGACAAATGACAAAAATTTGTTGGAAAAATGTTCAAGTCTTTTCGTTATTCAACACGCAAAAATAAGTAGCCAATAGGGTAAGTTCGCCTGTTCGCGTCAATGTTACAGAACGACCTTAAAAATTAAAAATCCCGAAAATAAGAAAACTATCACCAAATAAGTAGTATTTAGTATAAATCTATTTGACATTTTCTTCTCTTTCAGTCACACTTTTAACTGGTTACGAATATATTTTATTCAATTGTACTGAAATGCTTAAAAACCAATGCAAAGTAATTTGGAGCATACTTCAAAAATTGAATTTTTAAGAAAAGGTGGTTAGTTACAGTGACCACCAAGACTGAAAGAGTAAGGATCTTACATTCATGGCAATGTGTACAATGAATGCGAACTGGTGTGTGGACGCGAACAGGTGAACTTACCTAAGTAAATAACTGTTTCATATTACACTGTACATATTTGTAAACATGATAATTGTTTAACAATTTGTCTGTGGGTATGTATTATATTATTACCTTTATTTGTAATATCTGGTGCAGTTTTTAGATAGGGTATTACTTGCTTTCACATCCACATATTCAGGTATTAATCTAAGTAGGTACTAAACACACAAATATCTAAAAAAGCATTGTAATTAAAGCTTGAGCGGTTTCCATTAAAGGGATCCTAGGACCGTACTCGATAAAGGGACAGCACAAAATATTAGATATACTCTAATCACATTTATCATTTTCCTTTTATTTTATCTACATACATCTTGTCTATTATACAAAAATACTGATATTTTGACGTCATGGCTTTATTTGTATTAATTATTAAGAAATAGATATAGAAAGTCGATATTGGTTATAAATTCGACTTTTGCTTGAGAAAACGTCTTAAAAGTTACGTGACTTTGACTTGATTTGCAAGAGCAAAAAAATATAAGGTGTAACAAAAATAGTGCACAATATTTTAGTAGGTCAATTAGTATGTGATAAACATAATTTTTTTATGAAAATATTTTATAAAAACTTATCAATTATTTTTAATAATTCAATTATTCATTTATTATTTTCATTGCTTTTTATGCCATCCTGCAATATGTACCTATTCCTATGTACCTATTTAAAAAGCTCGGTCGTTGATCCGTAAGATAAACGTCCGCGCGCATCCTGGCGTTATGCGTAAAAACACAACAACAATTTTGTAAATGTGATGATAAATTTAATTAAACATGTTGTTGTTTACATTTTTTTTAGGTAAACATAATCCTTATCATGTACTATATCACCTGTTAAAATATTGTGCACTATTTTTGTTAGACCTTATACAACGCAGCTTTGTTGCAACACAAAAAAATTGTAAATAGGTTTTTATCATCATAAATTAAATTAAATTACATTTGTAAATATGTGTGTATGTAATGTACCGGGTGTTGCTTATTTTCACTCACAAAAGAAATTATTTTAGGACCACGATAATTGCAGCATTTTAAGAGCTATATATTGTTGTAAGTGGCTCAATGTTACTACTATTTTTCTGCTAAATCTATGTAATGTAGCCGTTGATCCGCCATTCAATAAATAAATAAAAAACAAATAAAAAGTCTTCTGTATCCATTTCTTAACATCATAGAGTTATTATTCTACTTAGACATTCTACCCTATGTTTTTCTTACATGTGAATTGTCGTGTTTTCTCTTATAATCCATCACCATACTGAGAACTCTGTTTCTCACCTGATCCAAAGCTTTGTACATGTCAGCTGTAAATGGTTCAAAGTCTTGATGCTTCTTCTTACGTCTGTATACTCCTTCTTTGTTAGCCATCGCGCAGTTCATGTTTGCCTGGTAGGAATAATGAATTTAAGATTAAATTGAGGTGAAAAACAACATATGGTTTCTAGTGGTCCTTGGTGGACAAATGTCTCAAATAAACCAGTTTTAAAGTATTGTGTATATAACCAAAAGTATCATGTAACTCTCCCCCCCCTTCAATTTGAGGGTTACAGATTCCATATATCCCTAAATCCCAAAAAGGCTGCAATGTCCTACAACTCTACTAGTTGTGGTGTAGCGAGATCTATGGACGGCGCCGATTGCTTACCATCACGTGATCCGTCTGCTAGTTGACGGCCCTATCTCATCTTCTCAGTCGTTCTCTTCCATACGTGTCTAGTCTGGTGCACGCGTCACTTGATGCACAACCCTCCTCCAAGCGGCCCTGTCCTCTACGGTATTTATGGCTTGTGTAATTGTGAGGTCGGGGAGGTTTTTTACAGTATCTAGCCAACGGGTAAGTGAACGACCACAAGGTCTTTTCCTGTTAACCTGACCAACAACCAAAAGCTTCTCCAGATTGAAAATAACTGACTTTTTTTTTTGACGTGACAACGTCTTAAATTAGGTTGCGGCTGGGAGTCACTTATGAAAAAGTGTAACGCTCGGTAACGTTACGATGAGTCACCGAACGAGAGAGAGGCCTGCCGAATGCCTTGCGTCTCTCTCCCACTCAACTATGATCGGTCTGCCGCGCGCGCAGCACTAGTTCATTCAATTCCTTGTTCCTATTGTGCAATTTAATTATATTCATATCAATAAATATTCTAACGAGAAAAAGACGTTGTCACGTAAAATCTTCGCCCGTAAAAACGACTTTACAGGCAACCATTTTTTAATTAGTAAGAGTTTGACACTCATTCTCGCCTCACCCGGTTGGGAGAAGTCATTGGATGTTTTTTTTTTTAAGGGGGGAAAATCATCGAATGACTGTCCCCGCCTGGGTGAGGCGGGAGGGAGTGTCAGACTCTTACTGACTAAAAACCACTGACTAAAAATAACTGACTTACCTCAGTGACATTATAATTCAAGAAATCGAGTATGCCTTGCAGTGTGTTCCTAGTGTCGCGTACCAGGACTTCATAGAAGACAATGTGCAGTGGCCCCGGGAATCTCGTCAGCCACATCTGATGCAGTGTCTCCCAAGCCGTCAGTTGCGTTGATACGTATGTTGACCAGTCTGAAAATTTAGATGGTAAAAATATTTTGAGCTTGTTCGTAAAGCGAAATAAAATTCACGCGAATTTATTTCGTAAAAGGCATATATAGTTATATATTATACATGGTCCGTCTGCTCGTTTGCCTCCCATTCCAATAAAAAAAACATTAGAATTTATTTTGGTCAGCCAACGCCTAGGGTCTTTTTTTTTAAGGGGTTAATCATCGAATGACTGCTCCCGCCTGGGTGAGGCGGGAGGGAGTGTCAGATTCTTACTGACTAAAAACCACCCCGTTCCTTCTCCTGCACGTCGAGCCGGAGCCCCGGTTACCCGTTAGGTTCTCCGCGACTCCAAATAGGTGTTCTACACTCATTAGGCCCTACGGCCCTAGAGGAAAAAGTTATAATGTAATTGAATTATACTGTGACTAATAAAAATAAGTATTCATATGTGACCTGTAATTTTTGTAAGGAACAAATATTATTAAAAAAGTGAGATATTATATTTCTCGATTAAATAACTATTACTTGATAATGTTAAATACCTGATTTTTTATTTTCATGTGATTTCTTTTTGAAAGCTGATTTCGGTGCAGTTCCTATGTGCCCTCTATGCAGTCTGTGGAAGTCAGCCTGCAAATTGTGTTAATGATGTGTTATAATACAAATTATATAATAAAAATCTCAATAAACAAATATTATTCATAAACTAATACTTATTCATTTTTAAATAAGCAGGCAAATGAGGATATATACAGTGAAAATATGTAAAAACAATTACTAAGAACACATTGGATGTTTACTAACAAAAAGTAATATGTACAGACAAAATGTCATATTAGATGAACTAAAGATAAGAAAAAAAACAATAATTACATACCATAATCAAAAACCTCTTTGATGGTTCTGTAGCCCTGGTAACTTGTATGAGCACACGAAGCAAAGAGTGAGTAACAATGAGAGCAACTAATTGTTAAAAAAAAGGCAAACGCAAACTGAAAAAATATACACAAAACAAAAAGCTTAAAAAATTATATTAATAAATGACAAATAGAATGCGACATGTGAATAATTATACCACAATAAACATTCTCAACATAGCATTGTAACCGCGTAATGGAAGGGTTCAAAAACTTATAATTATGATGGTGGAACTAACAGAGAGACAAAAATTCGGCAGCAAAACTCTATATTTAGAAGCAAACTCACTATTATATTATGCTGACTTATTATCATTAAAAATATGTGTTACACACACATTTTATTTATAGATAAATTTTAAAAATGTCATTTATCACAAAAGGTGAGTTCTATCATCATCATCAGACTGCCTCATTGGCCAAGTGGTCGCAAGTACGACTGCCGGGCAAGGGGTCTCGGGTTTGATTCCCGGGCTGGGCAAAGTATTACTGGGTTTTTAAAAATCTCAGTAGTAGCACGGAGTCTGGAATTGTGCCCAATATATGGCAATAGGCTATTACGTGGGACTCATAACATAAATAGTGAGAAGTGGGTGTTATTTTGTACAGTGGCATACTGTGCACCTCTGCATACCCCTTCAGGGATGAAAGGTGTGATGTTATATTATAATTTAACAATATACAAAAGACATCATAGTGTGGAACTACCAAAGTATAGAGCTAAAGTTCCACATATAGATTATATTTTTTTTATTTGAGTGAATTTAATAAATGAATGAGATAATTATACAGTAAGCTAACTTCCTATCTATGCAGGTCATGAACGAAGCATGTTACACAAATGGCTACATTCAAAACATGGCTAAAGATATACAGTTATTTAATCATAAATTAAAACAAAAGAATTTATCATTCAACTACATTTGAAGTTATGTACAAATAACATAATTAATTGGTTTTGCGGCAAAAATATTGTCTGACAAATAAATATGTTTAAAAGTACTTACCAAAATGGCATCTCGGGGGTTTCGTATCAACAGTATTGCGGATTTGAACTTATCGGAATCCATTGGGACCGCATGAGTTTTAACAACCAGGACAGAACCATCGGTAACATTTTCCGCAGGAAAACCATGCACTCTTAGTCCATAATCCATGTATATTGAGCCTGTTACCACACCTGTGAAAGAATGAGGTATGAAAAATTAATTTGATGTATGACTAGCAATATTATTTATAAATAACTAGATTTATGACTGTTGATTGTGATGAATAACAGTTATAAGGATGTTTAATGTTTAGATTTATGTGTTCTGCAGTCCCCAAAAAATATGATGTTAAGCTTTACTTTTAGAGAACAAATGTACAATAATATTATGATTATGACCTAAACTACCTAAATAAATAAGCAAATATGATGAGTGAAGTTCAAAAAACCAACTCATTTAAAAAGAACAAACACCAATCTTTGTACTATGGGAGAACTCACCAGTAACTTGTTGCAGCAAATATCTGAGCCATGTGTTACCACTGCCTGGGTAAGACACCAGCGCGACTACGTCTGGGGACGGCGGGGACTGCCATGTTAGCTCACTACACCAGTTCACAGGAGGATCGTGGCGAAAAGCAAAATTATTCATATATCCGCCCGCATAGTAACCGCCCCTCGAACCATGTAAAGGACCCAACATAAACAGTATTATTGAAAAATACAACATGACCACCGCCGCAGCAAGAAAAAATATTGATCTTCGTGACATAGCTGCTAGTTTTATTTCAATTCTTGTTAAAATACTTTTTTTAGTCATGATTTCACATTTTTGTACACCTGCACCTGCCCACTTTGTGTTTTGATTTCGATAACATCTTTATTTCACTTGTTTAGAAACTGATTATTTATAGGCACCTGATAGTTTCATATTATTAGTTGTTCGCGTTTATTTTTGTAGTGTTTTTAATAGCGTTTCCCAATTATTATAAATCGAAAATATCATCAAAAAGAAGGAAGGAGAAGGAATATTATTTTATTTTGACATTTTAATTTAGTGCGCAAATAATGTTGCCAGACAATATATTTTTGAGAGATGGTAGGGAGAAAACTACAAATAACTAGAAAAATATTTATTCAGTAACACTAAAAATACTCTCTTTATAAGTTCATATTCTGCGACTGTTTTTGACTCTATTACTATATATATTTTAGTATCTATTTAAACAGAAATGGAATGCAAACTTTTATCAAATGAACAGGAATCGAACCTGTGATAATTTCCTCAACAGAGATGGGCTCATTAATGATAACTAACGGTCTAGTACATAATCAAACAAATAGTAGATGGGTATAAACATTTTATTACATAGTAAACACTTCATTGTGATAAATTAGTAATTCTAAGTTTTCTGAGTAGTGTGTGGCAATTCTCTACATTCCCTGTGCAAATCTCTAAATACATTTGTAATGGCAATACTCTGGGTGAATTTATTTGCAAAAGTATTTTTCTTGCCGTCACTAAGTCACCTCTTAGGATGTGACAGACTGCTGCCTTTGCCCATACACTGACTGCTATCAAGTCTTTCATTTGGTATGGCATTACTGTGACAAGTTCATGAATCATAGGTGGGTGTAAGTGTTCAATGGCATCTGATATTCGGTCCAAATTGATGAGAGCTTCCGCTGCATATATGTGTGCCCACGCCTTATGGCAGCTGGATGCCTCAGGTTGACTTAGTAACTCATTTGCACTCACCAAAGCGGACAGAGGATCCTGTAAATGTAGTAAGACATAACTCTGAAGGACAAATGTGGAGTTTTTCAATTCACACCTCTGTTTCCAATTGATTGGAGGACCAGGAGGAGCCTGAATAATTGGTGCTGTCACATCAGCTGGTGCTTCTTGATTTGGTAGTAATGTTATAGCATTTCTTAAACATAATGCAGCAAACTCTAATGACAATGAGGGAATTGCAAATGATTCCCCTGATGTTGAGTATTTGTCTCCTTTTCCTTCCTTTGACAATAGAATACGAGTGTGTGGCCCACTGCCAAGTTTCTTTACTGTGTATTGCTGAACTTCCTCACTGCAACATTTCTTCACACAACATTCTGCCAAGTGCAGCCAAATCCGAGGATTGTTAGGGTAGTGTCGTGCTGCTTCTACTAAACACTCAAATGCTCCTTCTGAGTTATTTGCTGCTAGTAGAGCCAGGCCCAGGTTATACACATACAGTGGCCTGTCTCTACAAGCTATTAACTTTTCACTGTCCTCACATTCCATGGCCTTGAAGTGCTCTTTGACAGCATGTTGGAAATATTTGGATGCTAAAAAAGGTTTCTTTATTGACAGATATATGACTCCGAGATTATTGTTGATGGCTGCCCAAATATCTTCTCCTTGAGTTTTCAAATCATAATTATATTTGATAGTTTTGTACTGACCTAGTGTGCTTGCTGCTTCTTTCACATCACCATTCAGATAATGTTGTTGTGCTATAATAAATACATTTTCTATAGAGTCAGGTTTGAGAGTTAACTTCATTTTCTGGCCCAATAATAACTGGGCTCTACTGACAAGCCTCTCAAAGAGCTCACTCACATCACTATTAGATTTCAAAGGATCACCATGTGCCTTTGCTATTTCCAATGTTTTCTCATAAGTTCTCCTGCACAGAGAAGCTTCTAACAGCAGTAGAACAATTTGTTGGAATAGCTTGTTGTCTTTGACATTCTTACAAGCGAGTAGTCTCTCTAAGAGCACAGTACATTGGTAGTAGTATCTCGAATGATACAGTAAAACAGCGTAGTTGTATAACAAGAATGGTGAGCTAAGATCTTTCGTTTCAATGTCTGGAAATACGAGGCCTGTTAACTGTGCGATAGCCTTTTTCAACTTGTCCACATTCTTCATGTCACTTATCATGAACTCAACCACCGCTTTATTATGCTGTACCCGTTTGTTACTCGTACCAACTAAAGTTTCCAATTCGTTGAGATGTTGCAATGCTCCTGTATAATCCTTTTTTACATAACACTCGTGTGCGAGGATGACAGGTTCGTCTTTCGTAGTCGCCATTGTTTAATAATTTAATATAATCTGAAAATAATTTAGCGAGTGTGATTTATATACTTTTGTTTACGAGAAAAGGTCGATTTTTTATAGTTCCTTGCGCTGATTTTCGTCTAATAATGACAGACAGTTGACGTTTCACTCCAACGAAGGTTTGTCGTTGTCAATGTCAATTTTGATTGACCTACCTTTTTTACCGTAGTTTTAAAAACTTAACTTTTGAGATTGTAAAATCTTCTTAAGAGATGTAAACCTCCGTTTTAAGGTTTTTTTTTTTATCACCTCGAAAATTATGTATGTAACTCAAACATCTGGAATATAATATCTGTGATTCCCCAAAGGACGCGGTTGGCTCAGTTGCGCAATGTATCGTGGAGTCGATTCCCATACTGAAAAAAGGTTTTCCCTAGATTAGAATAGAAAAGTACACTGGGTGTAGTAGGATGAGCAAAGCTAGCATGCCGACCGAACAGGGCGTATAGCTCGTCGCGTTTCACGTGCCGTGACTGATACCCGACATGGGCTGCGAAAAACCGCATGCAACTGCAAGCAGAAGTTGGAACATGTGGTTTTTTATCGTTAAGAGTGACTCATTCTCACCCTCTCATGCCTCACCCGGGGCGGGAGAACTGTGAGAAGTCATTCGATGATTTCCCCCCCTCAAATAAAAGGGCTGCCACTGTTTTTAAATCATATTCCCTGCCAAAACGACGTTATATTTAGAATATACCTATTATTTATCAATAGATTCACTAACTAAAAAGAAAATCAAAATGTAATAGTGAAAAGTCCGATTACTCATATTATAAATTTCTCCATGTTCTCCGGTGTATTTCCAGCAGTTTGGCGTAAAGCTTTTGTTCGACCCTTACCTAAGATTAGTACTCCCACTCTGCCGACCCACTTCCGTCCTATCTCAATCCTTCCCTTCCTATCTAAGGTGCTGGAGGCTTGTGTCCATAAACAATTGTCTCACTTTGTTTACAATCATAGCTTAATAAGCCCGTTGCAATCTGGGTTTCGACCTGGCCACAGCACTATAACTTCCCTCCTTAAAGTGACTGGCGATGTTAGGGCTGGTATGGAGGATACCAAAGTAACACTTTTGGTATTGGTTGATTTTTCGAACGCGTTTAATATGGTCAGTCACGATATCCTTTTGGCAATCCTATCCCATCTTGCGATCTCTGGCAAATCACATCAATACATAGTATAAAACAAAGTCGCTTTCGCTGTATGTCCGTATGTATGCTTAGATCTTTAAAACTACGCAACGGATTTTGATGCGGTTTTTTTTTAATAGATAGAGTGATTCTTAAGGAAGGTTTGTATGTATAATACATGCATATTGCACCCAAGCGAAGTCGGGGCGGGTCGCTAGTATTCAATAAAAATACATTGAAACATATGAGGATATTTAAATAAAAGACATGTTTTTATAAATCTGGATAAATGTGGCCTTTTATTTTCTTTGTAGATCTTTCAGCAGGTCGCACACATAGATTTTTACCAAATATTGTAATTTTCTGTTTGCCTAAAAATATTTCAAAGACACATTCTCTCTTTGGTATGGTGGTGGTTACATTGTCTTGGGATACAATTTTAAAAGTGTTCCTTGTGTCCATAATACAGATACCACATTTGCCAACATAACTTGGACATTTTGACCGCACTACATTCAACATGCTTCCATGGAAGTCTGCTCTGAATAAAGTTTGAGTAAATGTTTCCCAGGACTTGCTCGTGCGATCTGGTACAGGTTTATCTAATTCTAACACATCATTGATATACTTTAACCATATTTTATTTAAAGGTAAGATATCATTGTATTTCACACCATCTCTTGGTATTGTATAAAATCCTATTGACTTCTTTTCTTGCCGGGTGAGACAGCGTACCCTTTTCTTCTGTGGTTTCTTCTTCTTTTTTGTATGACTCCTTTTCTTTGCAAGAACAAAGTCTGTTTTCAATTCACTTTCTATGGTCAGTTGTCCTGATTTCGATAGATTGGATTTCAGAAAGCCAACTATTGCATTGGCAGCTTCTTTGTTAAACGTTTCTTCGGTTGACATTTTGATATTGTATTTAATTCAGTAAATAGCATAAAATTAAAACTTAAATAGTTCACACAAACATAAATAACACAATGACACAAGCAAACCACATGTCTATAGATACGATAAATGTCACATTACTGCTGTCTGCTGTCACTGTCAGTGTCTTGGTACAGTAACGTCAATTGAGCAGTATCCGGTAGTGGTGGTGAACTAAACGTTTCGTTTAGATTTATGTTTTTTTTAGTCGATTAGTTTGTGCATATCGAATAGGCTTTTCACATGACATGCATAATTAAAATGATGAATAGGTATTAAGAGATATGACAAGATGACAATGACAAAGACAGTGAATGTTTAATGACAGGTGCCTTCCAAGGTTATTCGTTGAAAATTAGTTTTTAAATTACTGCCTGTCTTGTCTTATTATTTGATAAGATAACAATAATTACATAATACTCCGAAATAATTAATTAGATAGTTATTATATTCAGTACCTACCTACCAAAATTTTTGAAAAATGGTATCTAATCTGTACGGAGTTCCTACTGTAAAACTTTTGGGTGTACGAGAGATGCCTATGATAGGCCTTGGTACTTATGCGGTGAGTTTAACAGACTATTAAGAGATAATTATTAAGTTAAATAAATCAAAAGAAAAAGTATTTATTTACTAATTTCTATATTATTTCAGAGGAAGGCTGAACCTGGCCAGTTCAGACAGGCAGTTGAATGGGGCATAGAAGCTGGATACCGACTCATAGACACAGCATCTTTTTATAATAATGAAGTAGAAGTGGGCCAAGGAATCAACAACAAAATCAAAGAAGGTCTTGTAACAAGAGAAGAAATCTTTGTAACTACCAAGGTAATTGTTTTATAATTTATTAAAAATACCTTACATTTTCATAGCATCTCACCTTACAAAATTAGAAGGTACTTCCTACTCAATACATTTAAAATTTAAATATATATTTTTTTCAGGTCTGGAATGATCGCCATGCTGAAAATCAAGTGGTTGAATCATTGAAGGAGTCACTGGCTAGGTTGAACCTAGATTATGTTGATTTATATTTAGTGCACTGGCCAGTCTCAACAAATGTAAGAATTTTTACAAACTGCAAAATGGGGTGGATCGAGAGGTGAATAGAGACAGAAGAGGGGTGCATCGATATTGGGTTTTCATAGTATCAATTTACCCCTCTTCTGTCCCTATTCATATCTTTATCCCTATTCACCCCATTTTACTGTTACTTAATCTATTGAGTGCCTTATGTGCCAACATTGGCGCTTAACACTTTGAGTACCGTCATTATAGACACAATTAAACTGTCAAACACCAAGCGGTCACCGGTGACCGCAACCTATTGTTCTATAATTGTGTCTACAAAACCGGTACTCGACGAGTTAAAGAACACCGGTTGCGGTCACCGGTGACCGCTCAGTGTTTGACAGTTTAACCCGTTGATATCCATCCCCTAAATTTGGTCATACAAAAGTATTCTCTAAACATTAGAAATAAGGTCTATAATGTAATGTAATATTAGTGGAAAGCGGTCACCGGTGACCGCTTGGGGATTTATGGGTTAAAATAATCAGTTTGCAGAGATCCAATCCTACAATGGGTTAATCTCACATCTTTGGCCTTTGAGGGTAGGGGCAATAATTAAAAAGAGTATCACTTATTTTAATCCCTGCCTTCTTGCCATTTTTAGCTTTTTCTGTCACATCCATATATACAACTATGCTATTTATGGGTGCTCTTGTACAGTTTTCATATTCCTAACTATACCGCAACCGGTCGGATCCTATTTTTTTTTTATGTAGTATTTAAAAGAGTATTTTAGAGAATTTTAAATAAATATATATATGGAATGGTAAAGATTAATATTTTTGTTTTCACTAATACAAAAAAAGAAGAGGGCAGAAGAGCTAGGTACTGAATTTATATAAGAAAACTCCATAGTTGTCTATTTTGATACCATTATCACTTACACAGCATAAAAGATATGCTATTTTATTTAACCCCTGTTCGTTTCCTAAATTTTATTTTAATGTCCATCTGTACCAGAGTTTCTAACTGACGGACTAATTAGATTTTTAATTTTGGTACTTACCCTGGAAACTACCCAATTACATTAAAATGATGTATTTCATAGAGTAAAGGTGAAGATACAGAAATTGACTATATGGAGACCTGGAGAGGTATGGAAAAGTGCTGCCAGTTGGGACTGACCAAGGGTATTGGAGTATCCAACTTCAATGAGGAGCAACTTGTTAGAGTGTTTGAGAATTCTACTATTCTACCTGAAGTCAATCAGATTGAGGTGAGTGGCATTTATAATGAGCAGACGGATCACCTGATGGAAAGCAATCGGCGTCGCCCATGGACACTCGAAACACTAAGGCGTTTCAAGTGCGTTACCGGCCTTTTGGGAATTGGGAATTTGAGGATTGTAGAGGATTCGGGGATTCGGGAGACGGGGACTGGGGGGGGGGGGGTAATTGGGCCTCCTGGTAACCTCACTGACACGACGAAACAACGCAAGCGTTGTGTCACGTCGGCTTTCTGTCAGGTAAAATATTTATAAACAATGTATTTATATATTTACATTGATTTTAAATATTTTATCCCCTCATTCTTAACTGCTCAGTAATAAATGTATTGAATCTGGGCTCATTCCATAACACTGTCTATTTCTCCTGGTGTCAATAATACAATTAAAGTTGTGGTTATAGTTATTTTGAATTGTTCATTAGAACAAGTAGATTATTATGTTTTATTAGGTTTTAATGACCTCAATTCCACTAATCAAGGCTTTACATTTGTAATCCATAATGTAGGTAGTTGTGGAAAAAAATAAATAGTCATCAAGATCATGAGTGTGTACTGTGTACTATTTAAATATAATACTATATTTCACTGAATTAATCAATCAAATGGATCAAGCTAAATAAGAGGATCGACTTTTTGACAATTCTTCCATACTAAGACAGTCAAACGTCAATTTTATTCTACAGTTAACCCGTTGAAATCCACCCCCTAAATTTGGTCATACAAAAGTAGTCTCTAAACATTACAAATAAGGTCTATAATGTAATGTAATATTAGTGGAAAGCGGTCACCGGTGACCGCTTGGTAATTTATGGGTTAAGAATTTATTTATGATTCAAAAATCGATCCTAAAACAGTTTAATGAAAGAGAAGATACAGAGTAACTTATGAAAGGGCAGGAAAAGCATAATATTATTTAATTAATTTGATTACAGATAAACCCGACGTTAATTCAAAGCGAAATGGTGCGTCTTTGTGGAGATCTTGGAATAATACCGGTTGCATACACACCCTTGGGTCTCATATCGGAAGCCAGACCTGAGTTTATTGGAAAGGACATAATTAAAACCGATCCTGGACTTGGAGAGCTTGCTGAGAAATATAATAAGACACGCGCTCAAATTGCTTTGAGATATTTAGTAAGTATTATAATACCGTTTTTCTGCATTGCAGACTTCGGGCTTAAATTGATAGCTGATCTTAATCCTAAGTCTAGATCGATCTAAATTTTTCATAGAAACTAATGTGTCAAAGATTTTATTAATATAACGCCTTTTATCCTGGTAACGGTAGGCACATTATGGCGCTTAATGCCACTGTACAATGTAACCTCACTCACACGACGAATTTCTGTGAGGTCGTAGAATCACTCCGGTCGAGCCGGCCCATTTGTGCCGAAGCATGGCTCTCCCACACAAATAACATTATGCAGCTAATCTGCACAAAATGTGAGTGATGAATAATTTCAATGGTACATTATCTTATTTCAGACACAACGTGGAATACCAGTAATACCGAAATCATTTACAAAATCTCGAATTATAGAGAACTTGGATATATTTGATTTTGAATTATCAGCGAAGGAGATGGACTTTGTAAGTAGCTTCAATATTAATCATAGATGTGTACCGGCTACTGCTTTCAAAGGACTGAAGAATTACCCATTTTAGGCGGATTGCGATGGTTTTATAGAGCCCGGTGTGTAGTTTTAAGATTCATGGGGTTATTTTAGCTTTTAAACAGGGTTTTTACGTAATCAAGGTCTGTTTTGGAAATAATGATGTGATATTAAATATAAGAAGTACAGCCTCCTTGTTAAAACTCAACATAGTTGGGATAAAACAATGAGAATAAATAAAAGCATGTTTACATTTTTACAAAATTAAATATATATTTTGTTTTGGTTTTTGAGTGTTTTATTGCTTTTCCCATGTTTAATGATATGTGAGGTAAATAATACTGCCTAATCAAATTGTCTGACAATTTTATTAAAAGAAAAATATAATAAATAAACATAAACATGTCAACATCAATAAAAACTGAAATGGTACAAAATTATTAACAAAATTCATATTTTTAGCGTCAATGTGAAAGTTCTGGAATGACATTTTAAGATGTTTGAGGGTTGCGTATGAAATAGACTTTTGACCTTGAGGTCTAGTTCAGAAGTTGACCCCTCAAAAATTCTTAAAAAGATAGAAGTAAAATGCATATTTGGAACATAAAAGCTTGTAAACCTGTTGCCTACGTATGCAAACAGATCAGTTTGTAGCCAGAAGGCTAAGTACGCGTTTACGTTCAACGAAATTGAAACGAGACCGCTTCCGGCGCGCTGATTGGTTGTTTTATCGAAGCCGGCCAATCAAAACGCCGAACGCGGTCTCGTAAACTTGGACTTAGCCCTCGGACATAGTTGGTAAGAAAAGAAAAGTTTAAGTTGATAGAAATTGGTTATGAGGCAATAGTTTAACATTTCTGTGTTCTATAAGCGTCTTAGACTTATTTTTTATTCACCCCGGCTCCACAACTTGACCCTAATGCAACTCGCCCAGTGTGTAGAATTGGCCCCAATGTTGGAGTAACCACCGACTTTGTACATACACATTGTGGACTAAATTGGGGCCAACATGTGGAATCAGGTTCACACACATGTCCATAAAGACCAATAAACCATCTTTTTTTCAAACATATAGCAACATAACAAGAAAAATACACCAGTACATTTGACACGGAAAATTCATACAAACATTGACATAATCAGATATAAAAATATAGTAGAAAACCTACCTACTCTATATATGTTGTAACAATTTATAAAAACATTTCGCTTCTAATCCATAATAACAACGACAGAATCAGCTAAAAGGTTCATATAAATTACAAAATGCTAATAAAAACATACAAAAATAAACAAATAAATATAATATACAGCCACAAAACCCGGTAAATATAATCACATAGTTATACATATTTATACTCCCGCTCTGTAATATAATAAAGGAATAAAAATATAAATAAATTGTAATAAATAAACAAAACCCTGGTTTTAACAGACTAACACTACTTTTTAATACTCCCCTAAAGGGGGAAAGCGTGGATATGAGTGGAAGCAGCAGTGTAGTAATGGAGGTTACCGTATTTCTGCTCACCAGGGTGCAAACCAATATAGAGGCTCTTTGTCCAATCACAGCAGCTGTCAAATATTGAACGTCCAATGACGTGACACTGGCTAAATTCCTATTGGACGAAGGACGAGAGGTTTACACTCGCTTTGATTGGTTAGTTCATTGGATCCGGCCAATCAGAGCGCCGAACGCCGCTAATGTGCAAAAATACGGTAGGACTCATTAGGAAAATAGTGAAACTTTTTTTTTTACATCATCAGTGTATATTGTACAGCCGTGGTTATTGATTTCGATACAGCCTAGTGAAATTTCATACTATGTCTTTCATCAATAAGGCACAACTCTAGGCTTTCTAGACTCAAATTTACAGATGTTCAAGACAGTGACTGAAATTTTATAAATAAAATAATGTAATATATTGTTCAAAGACTGAATAAAAATAAATAATACAGCATTTAAAATTAAAAACAAGTTGTTGATATGTTGTTTAAAAAAAAATTGTCTGTAAACCACAATTTGCCCCACTACCTACTACAACTGCTTACACCCATATCATTGGAGTACCGCAACACATCTTAGCCAATTCAACATGGGCTGATATTGCCCGATCCTGGAATTGAATCCAGGATCGAAAGCTGCGCTTGCGATCGTTAACCGATAAAATACAACAACACAAAAACAATAGCTTACATTAGTGTAAGTTATAGAAATATTTATTGTTCACATCATAGATTAAGTTAATTCAATAATAGTGTTAAACACATGTTTCTAAAATAGCACTTATTACTTATTACATAAAGACTATGTTTCGACTGTTTTGTTTGAATAAATATAAGAAATTTGAAGACTAGGAACATAATGCTAAGTAACAAGATTTAAATGAAAAATATTTCATAACTTTTTGTTGAAATTATTATTTGAAATGCATCATGAGGAAAAGCTCCGCTGTGACTTGAAACTTGCATAGCTCAACATTTACGTGAGCAAACCGGCATTTGAAATTAATAGTAGGTATGACCCACAATAGTCATTATACAAATAAGTTTTTATAGTTCAACAATGCATCTAAAGAACAAATAAATAGAGTAGAAAATAAATTGCATAGAACCAAACAATGCTGATAATAATAAAAAAGGATACTTTAAGTATTTATAAACTTAAATCCTTTTATAACTCAATCTATGACGTCAGAATTTTGCACCTAAAAGCAAAGTACCTATTATACTTAACATTAAAATTACTTCGCAAGCACAGCTTCATAATAATATATTTGTAAATCTACAATAAAAACAAGTCTATAATCAATTTCAATAAATCTACGTATGTGTGTGACGGTAGATTGTCTACAAGTGTATCACAAGCTAAACCAAACATCAACAAAATTCCTACCTTATGCTTGTGAGCTAAAGTTGTAAATCTTTAAGCAAATAAGGGTAGCTCAGGGAATCATGGTTATTTAAAAATCCATTAGCTAATATAAAACCTATTGTTTCTCGTTGTTCCAGTTCATTACAATATATCACATTATACCCATTTTAAATGCGAGGTTCACGTGATTTGTACATATAAATAAAATAATAATAAAAACTGCTCACTTTGGTATGTTTGGTATAAAATATAAACTAGTTATGAGCCTACCGTCACATAAACTAAGAAGGCCTATTAAGTCCTGATGATTATGTCATAAAACTCATGTTTAATTGCAAAAATCTAAAGAGATATGTACAATTTTCCAACTAGACGGATATCTTCAATAGATTTTAAACTTTACTAACAAAGTCATAAGATTGAAAATCTATTAAAGAAATTTAATTCAGCATATTTCCACATGCGTCTGTACATATTATCAAAGTTATCATCACGACCCAATAAGCGGAGACATCAATGTAAAATGCAATAATGTCTCAAAAACTACTTCCAAACGTAGTTAAAAAGATCCATAATGGAATCGTAAATTGTGAAAGTAATAGCAACATCAAAGACTACACGACTTAACCTCGGTACGGTGCCCTTGTAGAACGCGAATGGACCTTCAGCCTTCCAAGTCTTGATGAAGCAATCCCACGTGTTCTTGTACTTGGCTGCTTCTAGACCTTGCATTCGAGTTTTGACAACGTCTATTGGTGTGTTACCGAATACTGACGCCGCTCCTGGAAGTGGAAAATAGTGTTATAAGGATGATATGTTTTACAAGGTGAGTTGAATAGTTTCAAGTTGCGGTGAGGACTCATAGTTGTGGTAAGTGGTAAGTTAATATGTCCTTCGAAATTTATTATAGAAGAAATGTTTTGTTTCACAATTTGCTAGGGTTTAATTAAGATACCACACTGTAGTAGTGAGATTTTTGTTATTATTTAGATCATGTAGGTCATACAAATATTAGTACTGTACTTTTTAAAAACATAACATCACGCCTTTTATCCCCGAAGGGGTAGGCAGATGTGCATATTAATACCCTGTACAGCACTTAATACCCTGTACAATGTAACACCCACTTTTCACTATTTATGTTATAAGCCCCATGTATTAGGGGGTGAGCCTATTGCCATTCACCGGGCACATATCGTGGCTTTGTGCTACTACAGAGATTTTTTTTTTAATCCATTAATACTTTGCCCGACCCGGGAATCGAAACCGCGACTCGCGACCACTCGGCCAACGAGGCAGTCTTTTTTAAAAACATTGCTATTATAATTTGTGGGTCGTACCACCTGGATTAATATCAATCGAGGGTTATATTAGAACTTGATTACTTGCTAGTGCTATGTATTACTGGACATATTCTTACCTGCTATACCACCGAACAGCGCGACGATGTACTTAGGTACAGGCTTGTCTCTGTCTCCGCCCTTGTACCAGTCCCTCAAGGACTCCATCACGAAGAACCTGATGGCTTGATTACTTCCCTGCTTCATTACTGTAGCTGTCACCCCTTTGTATAGACCTCCAATACCTGAGAATAAAGGAAAGCAGGGTAACAGAAGTGTTAAGAGTTTTTATAACGAACTATTACCATTGGTTTACTTTATTTCGAGGTTATTCTTCCAATTTGGGACTTGGAAGTCGTAACGTCATCTATATAGAGGCCTAAGACCAAGTCTCTTTTCTAATATTCCATTCGAAAGTAAATAAGGACATCGTAACAATATTAAAATTGCGAGGACTTAATTCTCAAGAGGCGCCATCTACTGATATTGGAAAACTATAAAATGATAATAATATAGGAAAACGGGTTTCATAAATATTGTGACGTAAAAGTAATCATTACAACGCTGATATTTTATTTTATCGCTGTGAAATCATTTAAATACAATCGTAACAACATTAACTCGTCGAGTACCGGTTTTGTAGACACAATTATAGAACAATAGGTTGCGGTCACCGGTGACCGCTTGGTGTTTGACAGTTTAAAATTAGTTTCTGATCACTTAAATAACGTTTATACAGCAATTCGATTACAGCGACCGTACTACGGCGTTTTTACTAAAAAGGTCATAATAATAACACTATACAGCTTTTGCTTGCGTTACCGGGTAAATTACAAGCTGTCTCTACGCCAATTTGCATTCTGATCCACTCAGGTTTTCTGACCTATATGAGTAACAAACACCTATTTAAAACATTCGCATTTATGTAAGTACCTCCTAAGCGTTTGTGTGCTTCATTATGAAAATATCAACAAATGATACGAACCATCTTCCCTAACAATAGTCCGGACTCCGTGGAAGAATCCTCTGAACCTTGGCTTCTCCAACCTCAAGTCGTTGATGAACTTGACCTTCACCGTCTCCATAGGTGTGACTGCGAAGATGGCCTCGGACACTCCGGCGGCCAGACCGCAAGTCAATTTGCCAGTTGTCGACAACGTACCATCTTCCGTCAACATATACAATCTCGCTTGTTCGAATACACCGAATCTGGAAGAGAAGATTGCTGGTCAACTCTAGACTATAAGGTTCATATTTCCGTGCAGCTGTTTGGTAAAGAAAGTCGTTTCATGGAGCCATGTTTGCTCATTAACAGACAAGAATTTTATTTATTGTATGCAAGATAGGTAGGTGGCGATATTTTCAAGGTTTAGTCGTATAAATTCATACCTATTTGATAAAAAATATCGAGAACGAAGAGGAATGAACCGAACATATTACGTAAATTGCATAAAACTAGAAATAAGCAGATAATGCATCCGTATTTGTTATCTGAAAGACGTACTTTTTCGTAAACAGAATAAGTTGTCAGAAGAAATAGCTCACGATACAAATAACTTTGATTTCAATAATGTATTGGTTTTGGAAACCCCACGGGTTGACGGCAGGGAAGTGATTGAGGTCATCCAGTTCCTTAAAATAGGGTCGCTTTATTATATTGCGGCGTCAAGTATGTATGTAGGTCGAGAGGGAACCAGTGATAGCTATACAAATACGACATCAAATACTACAAATGGAATTTTCATTCAACAGACTATTTGGATCAAATAAAACTTTTATTACATTATATAATAGTGTACGGCCTTGATTTTCTTACTAAGAACCGGTTACTATTTAGCACACTGACTTGTATTAACAAAAAAACCAATTTACATAATATTTTGTTGTAAAGACACTCGTGACGCGTCTCGTCTAATTATATCTACCGTAAGATTCTTCACCAAAAATTACGTAGGATTTATTTTTCCATTCAAACCGGTTTCATTAAAGCGTTGAATGAACAGTGAACTCTTTCCGCATTTTTATTGCTTCTTTATGGCAATAGTTCTTTCGACGTATGCATGCCTGGTACTTTCGTAGAAAGTTTTTAACATATCACTGTTATCATTTTTATCGTCAATTTGAGAAACTATAAAAATACGTCTATTCTATTTGATAAAAATGCATAGGTTCGTTTTTAAAAGTTATGATGATTTAAGTTAAACTTTTCGAGTGAACAAATAATTATTATACCAAAGAATGAGTGAAGTCTTGTTATTTAACGCTTCCTAAAGCAAAGACATGATGAAATCTTGGTAGATAATGCGAATAATTGTAAAGATAAGGGGAGATAATTCCACAAGATTGTAAGTTATTCGTGAAAACTATCTTCATAAAATTAAATGTAAGTAACGCAATGCCCTGTATGTCATTGAGTTTGTTTATGCAACCTTCGGCTAACTGACACAATGAACTGTTGTTATCAGTCATTAATGCTCCACTTTGCGGTAACGTGAGATATACTTACCTACGTGGCGACTTTATACTCGGATAGATTAAAGTAATGCTGTAATGTGAGAGGCGACCACCGTTTACTACTGTGCAGTTATGTAATCCTGGTACTCGTATATTTTACGTTGAACAAATCTTAGGGATTTATTCTTTAGGAAGAAAGGCTTAATTAGAGGACATTGCAAGTTCCTCAGTAGGTGTCATAATTAATATTGAATTTAATTTATAACCGACCGAAAAAAGAGGTTTTCAATTTGACCAGTATGTGTGTGTGTTTGTTATGCTCGATTACCTCGCGATTGTTTGAACCGATTTCGAGTAAAATGATGTTACACTTTGGAACCTTTTCCAAAGTTTTAGTATATTCATTATTCGATTTAAGGAAAGAAAAGGTTGAAGTCGATTTTTTTTAACGTGGTTTAATTATTAGTTGTGAATACTAAGTCTAGCGAAATAATTCTCTCATTTTATTAGTGACTTTCATAGATACTTTAGGTCCATTTTCAATTTTTTTTTACTTTAGGTACGCGTAAAAGATTGATCATTGGAGTTTTTCTGGAAATGCAGAACTCATTCAGCTTTATTATTATGTTGCCATTTTATCCGAGAAAAGCTAAAACTAATTTCGTTCATGACGGATGGTTTCGCAAATATATCTTTACTCCGGAAATATTTATCTATCACGTGTGACTATAAATAAATACAGAGTAAGTAGCAATGTCAACGAAAGGTCAAGGTGATTAATAATATCAGTATCAGAGGCAATATGATATCTAGTCGGGTTGGCTAGGCAATAATTGCCTGAAATGATACTGTCTGACTATCAAGATAGAACTATGGCGCTATCGAACTGGTACCTCATTGAAACATCAGAATATTTGTAGCATGAATAGTAAATGATTATATTTTCACCTATGATAGAAGTACGACATATTTTTTGGCTTTTGCCTTTTTCATATATTTCTGGACTATTAAGTCTAAACTAAAGGCACATAACAATATTTTAGACTTAGGGCACCTGGGTTTACACTCCGAACATGGAGCTGATAGAATTAAGTACATAAGGCTTCAGAAGAATTTATCAACGCAAACTCAAAGCCTACAAATATTAGGCACCTACTAGACTACCTTTTCGCCTACTTCCACGATCGCAGTCCTAAAGTATTCATAAGAATATCGAGAGGCTAGTCCTAAAAAAAGAAACTTTTCAATGTCCAATAGTTTTCGAGCAAATAAACAAGAACCAAATCTTTCCTCTAAACAATAATATTATACATCACGAGTTTCCGTACTCGCCATGGAAACAAAATAGATGATGTAGCACATTCTAATCAGTATACAAACAGGCCATTGTCGCCCATTCTCTCAGTCGGTGCTATGATGGTTATATCAGATAAAAATAGCGACATTTTCATACTTTTGATATCAAAATACGACTAGTATTAGTGCAATTCATCATTTTGATATCAGCGTGTTGAAACTTGGGGGGTTTTGTGGCAGAAAAGGTGCGTTTAAACAATGCACTGGTTATTTAAACGACTTTCTTCGTGAAATGCTATCTATAAACAATACTTTGGGTAGAGGCCAAACAAGAAGTCGGGTCACCTTATGGCAGGCTATTAGCGTTGCCTGCAACCACCAGAGGAGTTCAAAGGATATATTTTATGACTTTTACATAAATACAGACAGACGGCATCACATTAACTCGTCGAGTACCGGTTTTGTAGACACAATTATAGAACAATAGGTTGCGGTCACCGGTGACCGCTTGGTGTTTGACGTTTTAAGCGTGTCAATATTTTAAATGTAGATTATCATCTCTATTGCCACGCACTATCGGTGAAAATGTATTACTAAGATACAGATTAGGGCCAGTAGCCACACGGTACATTTTATTTCTAAACCAGTCCCCGCTAATCTTATCATTAGCTCTTGTAAAACCAACAATCTTATACAATATCTTGAAGTTCTGTAATCTTAATATAGTGACTAAACCAGAACTTACGTACTAGGCAGTGGGTGCACAAAGTACTAATTTATTCCACAGCACTAAGATTTATTAAAGCAGATTTATTATAATTTGCAAGTGATGGGCAAAGTACGGCCTGCGCGTCATCGGACAGTATTTATCTAGCTATAATGGAAATCATTGGGAGAGACATATTTATTTATTTTTTTTAAGGGAGGAAAATCATCGAATGACTGCTTCCGCCTGGGTATGACGGGAGGGAGTGTCAGACTCTTACTGACTAAAAACCACCCCGTTCCTTCTCCTGCACGTCGAGCCGGAGCCCCGGTTACCCGTTAGGTTCTCCGCGACAGAGACATATGATTAGAAGTCTTTGGCTGATATGTATTGATGGATCAGAAGCGTATCTATCTAAAGTAGAATGCCAGAGGCATTGGTAAAGGAAGTCAAGCAATCTATTCGAATTTGACGGAAGAAAGACTGACTACAAGACCGGATTATACTAGTTTTGTATTCATGTGTACATTTATTACGATTTTTTAGAATTCAGATAAAACTCAACCGCCTACCTAGCAACAGAGGAAATATCAAGATGGTTTCAAGACATACATAGATTATGATTCAGTTATTCAAAACGTTCGTTAATCGTGTCGGAGACTATCAAAATCTAAAAGTGCTTAGTAGCTTCTGACAACCTGGTACTATCCTTATAATTCTGTTTATTGTTACGGCCTACAAGTTTATTATCTTTTATGTATCTATCAGTTTTGGTTATCTTCAAACATAAACGTGACTTTAAAATTGAGAAATTTTTATCACTACTGCAGTGAAGCAAAACAAAATATTTGTTCTTTGGAAGATGAAGTGTTTAACGAAAATAAAAACTGATGGATAAGGTCTTCATTTGTTATTCTTGTTCGTTTGTATAATTTGTGTTATCTGTGTTTAAATTGAGAACCGAATCACGGAATACTTGCTGACGCAGTTAAATGCACATTTGTATTTTAAGCTACTATGAAATTATGAACGCCTGGTACTTCAGCGTTGTATTCAACATCTATTTTTGTCTGTTATGCAATCGAATTCATGGAGGAATTTTGTCTTCACTTGGTGAATAATATCATTCATAACTTCGCTCAGAGCAGATACAATTACCAGGGATGCAGTAATTATGAGAAAGTGAGTTGTGACAATTAAATATACGAATTTGTTTCGAAAAGTACTAATAAAGTTATTTGGTTATATCAAACAGCAAACCGACTGAGGACAAATTCTGTTATCAGTTTTTTTAATTACTCTAATATGTACTAATTCAATGGCCGATTAAGATGGACAACATTGATGACGTAATATTTTAGTACACAAATAGTTATTATTTGATTTCCAAGAATTACAGAAGATTAAGTATCAATATCTAAAATCAATTAACGAAAGTGTATTGTTACTCTCGAGAGACATACTAAACTAATTATGTTTGGAACTACTTCAGTTATCATGCCAAATACTTTATAGTATTGAAAAAGCTATTAAGACCTAGGAAACAATGTCAAAGAGAGATGTTTTTCTATGAAATAGGTTACCATCGAGTCGATGGATCACATGCTACTACGTGATCATCGGCACCCATTGACGCGTGTCAGAAAAGTCACAGTTTAATTTAAAAAATAGGTGCAAGCTTACCTGACAGCAGACTTCGGTATGGATCCATAGATAAGCACACTGAGTCCTCTGTATAGGCCGAATACTCCATGAGATTTAACAGTCTTCTTGATGCAGTCACCGATGCCTGTGTACTTCTTAGAACCACCTGGAAGACGGAGAGGTACAATTTAGTTTTTTTTTTGTAGAAGAGTTATCTAGGGGATATAATATGTCCTAACACTGCAAACAGCCCGCCAATGGACGGGCAGGGCAACGGTAATAACTTTGGGAGAACTTTACGCGATCGCCAAGCGGCCTGCCAAGTATAAGGGAGATCAGAGACCAAATGCGCCGATGCGCTAAAGCCCGTAATTCGTCTAACAGCCGAAATTAAATCAACTTTCATCCAAAATAACTGGATAGATCTACTTCTGGTTATGACGGAAACTCTATTTGACTAATGTCAAAAATCAATCCTATTACAGATTTTAGATTGACATCGTTTGTTAATTTTAGCTGTTAACAATGTTATTTGTTAATCAAACAAGAGACTGTATACAAAAAGAACGAAATAAGACCACTACTGCATTTGATGCGCATTCAACTGTTTTTAGCTATAAAAAACCATCTGGTAAATCGTAAATTGATACAGTGGAATTTTTTCAACTTGGATAAAAATACGAATAGATATTTTTACTTAGTATATTTATAATACGACGTAGACGAAGATAACTGCGCTTTGTAAAATGCTTGGCTGCACTAGGAGCCGTCTTAATATCTAAAACTTTTTTTATACGATCTGGTGTAGTGAAACTACCAGTTTTCAACGGAATTGTACCTAATTGGAATTAATTGGTAATAAAATTACTTATGTCGTCTCGTTAGACTTACAAACCACCATTATCTTTTGAGCCAGTTGTAGAGGTATATAAAAATATTTTCTTTATTAACATTGACGAGCACTGCCTTTTTACTGTTTCTAGTAGGATAAGGTAAACGAGCAGACGGATCATCCCAGGCATAACGCCAGCACTATGGAAGTTACAAGGGCGTTACCAGCCTTAAAAAAAGGAGTATGCATTTACTAAGGATCTACACAAACAGTAGATTTGTGACGATATAGTAAGTAGTAAGAAAACTGTATAAGGCTTTCGCGGAATAATAAGAGTTTTTTTAGGGTAGTCAATCATCCAATGATTTCTTCTGCCTTGGGTTGTGCTAGAGGGAGTGTCAGACTCTTATTGACTAAAAACCACTCCGCTACTACTCTTGCTTTTCGAGACGGAGCCCCGGCAATTCGTTAAGCCTTCCACGGCTCCGTATCGGGCATCAGGCCTATTAGGCCCCATCTGTGGTGGTCTGATGGCTTCGCTCTGGTGTACGCACGGGTTTGCTTATGGTCGGGCAGCGAGCTACCCTTGCTTGCCGTCCGCAGACCCGCACTTACGGTGGTTGCGTCAGGACGCCCCGAGTGTGAATAAGAGGAGTGTCGTTATTACACTTTTGACTATACACAAACCGTCTACGGTCAAGGCTATAGTCTGACTAGTCTCAATATGTACCATATGTTACATATGACATAGAATCACGTTATATTTAAATAGTAGTCGTTGACCGTGGCCGCGTTATGCTGAGGTTAAACTGTCCATTGGAGAGCTAGAGTTCTTATGTTTTATGTTAGCGGAATGGAGATTTCTGCAAAAAGAGCTAGTGACGACTTAGCGTTCCAAGTGTCCATGGGTGATGCCGATTGCTTACCATCAGATGATCCGTCTGCTCGTTTACCGGCTTGTCTCATAAAAAAAGTGAACAGATGTGTATCGTTAATGTTGTATAATTTGTGTCTGAGTGAAACATCATCACGCCTTTTATCCCCGAAGGGGTAGGCAGAAGTGCACATTATGGCACTTAAATGCCTCTGTACAATGTAACACCCACTTTTCACCATGTTATGAGTCCCATGTAATAGGGAGTGAGCCTATTGTCATATACCGGGCACAATTGCATACTCCGTGCTACTACTGAGAATTATTAAAAAAAAAAGCAGTAATACCTTGCCCGACCCGGGAATCGAACCCGAGACCCCTTGTACAGCAGAGATTAATATTTCATAGCTTCGTTATTTCTTCTCTATTGCCGTTAATCTAACAGATAAGACAATATTATTATTTATGCCTCGGATCTGGCTATCAAATGCGATAGCAAGCTAACATGACAACAACTGATAAAGATAGTGGATAACAGTCAAAACACCTAATATTTGTGACAGGATACTGTTAATTTTCTATACTATGTAACGTAGATATTTTTCGGTATTACTTTTCACTTAGACCAATTTACATTAAATGTGTCAACTGTCATAATGGAACTTATGTAACAAATGGTCGTTAAACCGACTAGAAAGTACAGTGGCCAGTAAATGAACCTACTCAAAAATGTCGAATTTATTCGTTGGATTTTCGACTTTATACCAATGAAAGAAAGAATAACTATTTATTTCGCCACGACACACAACAAGAATTTAGGTACACACAAAAAAGCCCATGGTGCGTCGCAGCGCAAAAGGCTGGAGCTCAATACCGGCTCAGTTTAGGCACAGAGGCTCGACCCCACGGCGCTGATTTTCAGCACCAGCCCGTATGCGATCAAGTTGAAGATATGATAGAGAAATTTGACAGAAAACGATAGTTTGACCTGACCTGGCATTAAAATGTCGGGAGGAGAAAAACATCGTAAAATATTATTAGTGTTATGAAGGCTGTGAATGTAGCACTTAAAATCTGGCCGTCATACAGGCATCATAAGGGCGACGCTGATCACCTACCATCAGGTGCTACGTCTGCTCGTTTGCCTTCTATTATAGTATAAAAAATCCTGACTATGGCAGGCCCCTATGGTGGCCCCTTTTATTATTAATTCAAGTCATAAGTAGGTGCACACACACGCACTTTCACAGATATTTACAAGGAATAAAAATCGTAATATACAAGTAAATTAGACCCTATCAGATTGGTCCAATTTCAAAATATTATTATAATTTTTTTGGCGTTTGGAGTGTTTCCAGAAGTGTTTCCAGAAGAATAGTAAATTCTTATTAAACCTATTAGTAGTACTTACAATACTAGGGTCTAGATTAGAATCTAGACCCTAGTAGTCCCTAGTAGTAGACCCTAGTAGTCTTTAATTTAATCTTATAGAATCTATTCTATAAGATTAAATTAAAGAAGAGTGGTATTCACTTGTATTTGTTTTTATTTCAGTTAACTGATCAATCCCCAAGCTATCACTGGTGACCGCTCTCCACTATGTTTGGAGACTACTTTTGTATGAACATTTTTGGCGATGTATATCAAGCAATTAAGAAGATAGATGACTCATTCAGAAAGCATACTGTAAGAAGAATCAAGTGGATGTTAGGGAGACCGTTCCCTGCACATGAATATTTTTATCGTAAAACATAATAATGAAATTATGTGTCTAATGTAATTAAAAAATATGTTTCCGCTGTTTAGGAAAATTTCATTCATCATTTTTTTGTTACTTTGATAAAACATGTACATCAGTAATCCTAATTTTATATTTTTCAATTAGATACATAGATAATCATTTATTGACAAGTCATTCTATGGATTGTTTACCTACTTATTTTGATAGGAAAAGAACAACACAAAATAATGACAATGTTAATAAAATATTATGAGTAAGTATTATTCTCATTAAAAATGTACATATTTGATTTCAATTAGGTTATCATTGTAACAACTCTATCAGTTAACAGTAGAAAAGATAGATAAATTACAATTTAATGGTTATTCAAATTTACATAAGCATTAGAATTTATTGCATCTATTTTTTTTTGTAGTAACGTAACGTTATAGTCATTCATTCAGACAATTTATTATTTTTTAATTAGAATCTTGTATAGAACTATAGCAAATATTTTTGTATTTCTAGGTATGTAGGCTAGGAAGAACTAATATTGATTGTATAGGTATAGCAATTTGGAATGAACTTTCTAGTTGAAGTGTTTGAACAGAATCTTTTGTCATGCCTATTTTATATTACATAATGATCCAATACCAGTAGAATTTTAGAAGCTTTTCTTGAACTTCCTAATATGAATTTGTACAATGATAAATTCAATATATGTATGTTAGAAAATTTAAAGTGGAATCCTGGATGAGCCCAAATTGGTACCATAATCAAGATTAAAGACATTCTAACAAGTAAATTCTAATTTCTAATAATACAACTTTAAAAATAGAAACAATCATCAAACTAAACAACGGGAAAATAATGAAGTTAAACTAAACAAAAGGTCGCAAGTTCAACTGTCTGTTGAATAATAAATTATGACTAAAAACAAAATAACATTCTTATTACACAATAAATATTTTTATTTAAATAATTTGGCGGTATTCGAAATAAATTGGTATCTAATAAGAAGTGCTCCGTCATTTAAGATAGTCTAGTATCGCGTCAAAGGAAATAGCCTTGAATAATAGAATTTTATTTGCCTGTTCTGACATAACATATAGCTGTAGCAGACCAAAGTCCAACGTAGGTATAACATAATTTCCTACCGTCGGTGAAGAGATATCGAGCGATCAACGCAAAACAATTTGTTTTTCCGAATACCCCAAGGTTAAATAACCTACAATTTATTTAACGTAGACCAATTAACATCTCTCTGTAATTAATTATAGTTTACACCCGGAAACAAACGAATATCGGCTCAATATTATATGGAACAAAAATATCGAATGACGTCCGAACTGGTAGTATTTTTAGCAAATAGTTTTTGTACTTTCCGCGCGATGTTTACAAATATGTTAGAAGAAAGCACCACCTAAATATCGATTTATGAATGAAATTAATTAATTTTTAATATAAAAGTAGAGTAAACTAACCTTTTTCGTCTAATTGCAGCTGTGTTTTTACATATTCCGTCGGGAATGTTATACAAATTTCAATGCCACCAGTTATACCGCCGGCCACAACACCTTTCAAACCCTTCGATTTTTCGCCAGCCGCAGCCGCTGCGCCAGTTTCCGACATCCATGGCCTAGAGAAAGGGTTTTTAAATGCTACAGGTCTATTAGACATTATTATTTTCTTATTAGGCACTTGTCGTTTACGACAGCGGCTGCGTCGACTTCCTCCTTTGACACTATTTCCGAAACTAATGGGAAAATGGAAATGTTTTGGATTTTCGAGGTAATTTCCACTACAGTGTTGCAAGTGTAAATCAAAATTACCAATATAAAATAACTTTTTTACACAATCTGCAGTAAATATTTCGATTTAGGTAAGTTAAAATTAGAAAGAATATGTGTAGATGGCTTTTTTTTATTTGAGAGCTTATTTTAGATTTATTTATAGACAAAATTAAATATTTTGCTAATTAATTTTCTTTAAGTCATAAGGGCTATAGTTAGGGTTGCCACCTTTTTCTTTGGTATTTAAAGTACACTGACGATTATAGGTAAGAAAAAAAAGTACACAATACAAAAATAAAGTACAAATTATTCTTATTTAGTATAATATCAAAATAATATAAATAGTATAAAAATATATTTTTATTGCTTTTTGCAGTTTGTATTAAATTAGTACCTTTACTAAACAATTGCTTTGAAATACTAGACAATTGCATCTTTACTAGAAATTGTCTAAGTGGCGCTGGCAAGTTATCGATTCAACATAAATCGATAAATATCGATATCGAATGGATAAGTTTACCGAAAAATACTTACGACTTTAATAGAAATGAAGTTTGCAAAAATAAAGTATTTTCGTGTACTTTATTATTCTTATAAAGTATAGAGTACAATTACCTTAAATAACGTACAATACTTTATTATAAAGTACGGGTGGCAACCCTAGCTATAGTTTCAATATATCCTTTGGAGTGCAATATAATTAATTTCACGATTATATATTATATTTTTTTAAGGGGGGAAAATCATCGAATGACTCCTCCCGCCTGGGTGAGGCGGGAGGGAGTGTCAGACTCTTATTGACTAAAAATCACCCCGTTCCTTCTCCTGCACGTCGAGCCGGAGCCCCGGTTACCCATTGGGTTCTCCGCGACTATATTTACGTTCAGTCGAGTCGAGCTTACGAGTTTTTTTGTTATGACCACATTTTGGTATAATCTATGATGGACGCGACAATTTTTGACATCTTTGTCAAGGATGTCATCCATTTCATTCATTCATTCGCAACTTCATGTCATTCATCTCATCTTGTCGATATCGTACTCAATGATTTTAGCGTTTTAGTGAAAATTTTCTATATTATTTTAGTTTATTTTTAGTTGGAAACTAACAAAAGGCTTAAAAATGGCTTTGCGAACTTACGGTGATAAGCCGATAAGCTTTCAAATAGAAGAGGGAGGAGAATTTTATTGTGTCGGCTCAGAGGTTGGTGGCGTTCATTTTGTTTATTATTTGATGATTTCAGCTAGATTTTAATTACATTATTGGAAACTATATAAAATAAGAGACAAACCCTATCAACCTGATTTAATAGGGTACGGCTTTCATTGATAACTCCAATTAAATAACGCCACCTAACTGATCAATTTGTTACGGCGTGTCGCACTCAATTAATATAGTTTATAGACATAAATATAATAACTATGCCGCTTAAGATACCTACTGATCTCACTATGGTAAACTACACAAAAGTATTTATAAACTATCGAAAGTATAGAAAGTTCCATCCCTTTTCAGGTCGGCAACTACCTGCGGTTATTCCGCGGGTCTCTATACAAGAAGTACCCTGGTATGGCACGCCGTACCTTGACCAATGATGAAAGGAAACGTCTCATTGACAATGGCCTAGGAGCTCACGTACTTTCCAGCTCGGTATCACTCCTCAAAGCTTCCGAGGTGGAAGATATTATTGAGGGCAATGATGATAAGTATGTGTACGTTTTATGATAATTTTCCCCAATTTAGGTATGTAATGATATGATGATCTGTAAATCAACATTTTGGTAAGTGTTGAGGATCATCAGCAATATTTGTCATCATCATCATCATCATGATCACTTGCATAGCAATTTTATTATCAAGATTTTTATGTCGCTTTGAAATTTGGGAGTGGCTTAACCCTGGTATAAATTTCACGGATTGGGTCTATTAGAAGAAGATTGTGTAGCACTGCAATTATTTTAATATTTTCTTTATAATTTTAAACTCCATGCTTCCATCAAGGTTGTGGATTTTCATGAAATACATCTTTAGATGTTATGTTATTTGACTTATTTGGTTTTCGGTTATTACCAATTTTAATTTTTAAGTTAACACCATGGTAGTGGCCTTGCAAACACTTCACTTTAACTGAACAATCATAATACACTGACCAATTTCATGAATATAGTGACCAGTTTACTTTACAACACTGTTATGTTATTATTCCATTAGAAACACAAGAATATGCATTTCAAACAAAACCGTTAAAGTCTGTTTTTTAATGGGGGAAACTTATTGACTAAAAACTACCCCATTCTTTCTCCTGCACGTTGAGCCGGAGCCTGTTAGGTTCTCCTCGACGTCTCTTTAGACTAAGAGCACATTGTTCCAATGCTACATAAATTTTATCTCAGGAATAACTTTGAATATTTGACAATTCTTCCATACTAAAAACTGTCAAATGTCAATTTTATTCTACAGTTAAGATTTAACTAAATTAATTCTGTATTTATTCTTATTTTAAATAAAGTAGGTAAAAGAAAACATTAAAGAACTAAGCTTAGCCACATTCTTGAACGTCGAAGATCACATTTGATTCTGAAGGAACAACTTGGAATACTTAGATGACTAAAGTCCCTTACCTTTACTAATTACTATATAATAAGCTGGTTACTCTAAACATATCACCACTAACACTTCCCTCCCATTTTAACCATTTTTAATCTTACTTTGATCTCCCAGGTATAAGGCAGTGTCAGTGAGCCAAGAACTGGCAACCCCAAGGGAGAGCAAGAGCAAGAAACCACACAACCAGTCATGGCTGCCTGTAATGCCAAACTCTTCGCATCTAGATGCAGTACCACAAGCCACTCAAATTAGCCGAACTAGAGTTCATAATAAGAAGGTATGTTTTGTTGGGCTCTAAAATACTTCATTATAATCCTGTTAGCAATAGTTTAAACCTTATTATATAAAAGTGAAGAAATTTTTTGTTTGTTTGAATGCGCTAATCTCAGGAACTTTGGTCCGATTTGAACACATTATTTTGTGTTAGATAATCCATTTATTGAGGAAGGCTATAGTCTTTAAACTATCACGCTACGACCGAAATAGCTAGTGTATAACATAGATGCATACTTCAATTCCCGCAGGCAGGCAGACAAGGTTTCACTTGTTTAATAGGCCTCTTGTTACTTATCAATGTTTTCTCCTTTTAGGTGCGCACATTCCCGCTATGTTTTGATGACACAGACATGACAGCGATGCTGGAGAACTCCTCTCAGAAGCAGATACTGGTGCCCATTAGGTTGGACATGGAAATTGAAGGACAGAAACTGAGAGACACATTCACATGGAATAAAAATGGTAAGTACAGCTAAACTTATTTACTCACTTATTTGAGCTGAAATTACTGCAGTAAAAATATTTTTAAGCATAGTTCTTTAGTTAAGTTTAGTACTAAGTTATTCAGGTACAGCTGAATGAACCTAAACATAAATTAACCACCATTACATTCAGAAAGCAAATAATAATTTGTAATTATTACTTTTCTTGATGAAATTAAAATAAGTTTGAAATTAAAATTATAATGACTCACATATAAATCATTAGATAATGTAGTAAAAAACATAATAATATATCATGTATTTGAACTTATAGAAACATTCTTAAAAATAATTCTCTACATTTCAGAATCAATAATAACTCCAGAGCAGTTTGCGGAGGTTCTATGTGATGACTTAGAACTGAACACCAGTACCTTCATCCCAGCGATTGCTTCGTCTATCAGGCAGCAGATAGATGCGTTCCCCAGTGACCCACCAGCCATCTTGGAGGAACAGCCGGACCAGAGAGTTGTGATCAAACTGAACATACATGTTGGGAACACTTCGCTTGTTGATCAAGTTAGTATTATCATTGAATTTTAACAAAATAATATATTCTATGGTTTCATTTTCTTTTTCCAAAAAGGAACATTGTTTTGTGTTGTAACATTTTTTCACTTCTAGGAGTATTTGGTTACGTTCAGTAATTTTTAAAGACGTTACGAACAGGATGTACAGCATACAAAAATATACAGCGCCTACTTTTCTTGGCTGTAGTAGAAAATCTGAATGTTTCGTTCGGGAAGCAACTCTGAGATAAACACAAAAGTCCACAGTTTATTTTATGGAATGTCAGGACCATGGAAATGTTAACAGTTTAACTGACTAAACTAACAGAACAGTTACTAAATTGATAATAATAAATATGACTATGACTGTTGGCGCGGTGGCTGGGCGACTGACTGCCGCACAACGTGTCGCGGGTTCGATTCCCGCATGGCACAACTGTGTGTGATCCACAGATTGTTGTTCCGGGTCTGGGTGTCATGTGTATGTGAACTTGTATGTTTGTAACTGCACCCACGACACAGGAGAAAAAAAAGTGTGGAGTAACGTTTTTAAAAAAAAAAAAACATTTAATATTTGTTTATATTTCCAGGTGGAATGGGACATGTCAGAGAAGGAGAACAATCCGGAACAGTTTGCAATGAAGCTGTGTGCTGAGCTGGGTCTGGGCGGAGAGTTTGTGACCGGGATAGCATACAGTGTCCGTGGTCAACTCAGCTGGCATCAACGGACGTATGCATTCAGTGAGGCACCATTGCCTGTTGTAGAGGTGGGTATTTGAGAAGTTTAATTTTGTATTATTAATAATTTATTGTTTTGAACGCCGAAAATTAGTTTTACTGACCTCATCAGGGAATATAAATTGTCACTTAATACTGTTCAATTTTTTTTCATGCTTTTGGTGTTTTCTATTTACACTGTGTAATGGTTTACTTTTATTCAAAACTTGTAGAAATGTCCTAACAGTCTATTAACTCGTCAAGTACCGTCATTATAGACATAATTATAGAACAATAGGTTGCGGTCACCGGTGACCGCTTGGTGTTTGACAGTTTAATGTGGGAAATTATTGTGCTGAGCTAATTTTAAAATGTTCGTATACCTCAAACTTTGCCATTTTAAAGTTCCTTGTTCATACCTTGATATATAAAATCACTACATAGTATAAAACAAAGTCGCTATCCGCCGTCTGTCTGTCCCTATGTATGCTTAGATCTTTAAAACTACGCAACGGATTTTGATGCGGTTTTTTTTAATAGAAAGAGTGATTCTTAAGGATGGTTTAATATGTATGATACATGTATATTGCAACCGTGCGAAGCCGGGGCGGGTCACTAGTAGTAAATAAGAGTAGTATTTAAACTGTCAAACACCGCTAGGACACCGGTGACCGCAACCTATTGTTCTTTAATTGTGTCTATAATGACGGTAATCAACGAGTTAAGTATTGAAAGTTTTATAAATATTTTTAGGGAATGATGGGTCTGGCATGGTTTTTGTATGACCTAAAGATACTAAATTAATAAAGATAATAACAATAATAAAATAGTTCCTAAAGTTCCATTTTAAAACAATACAATCTACTTCCAGACCCCGTACCGCCAGCCATCGGAAGCAGAACAATGGGCGCCCCACCTCGAGACCCTCACTAATGCGGAGATGGAGAAGAAGATCCGCGACCAGGACCGCAACACTAGACGCATGCGACGACTCGCCAACACTACGCCCGGTTGGTAGACATCACATACGTACACCGTACACGTATAATATCCAAATATACATCACATACATACATTTTTATAATAACTATAGTGAGACATACTAAGTTATAGATGTTTTATCTCTTGAGCCCGAGTGCGCCATACTTGTGTGGGTAAATGTATACGCACATTGTTTCTGTACGCGTATGCTCAGGCACGCCCAGTTTTAGTCGGGAGGACAATGAATGAGTTGCGAGTTACGCACACAAGCGCGCGCGTCTTTTATGGAATAGGAGGCAAACGAGCACAATCACCTGATGGTAAGCGATCATCGCCGCCCATGGACACCCGCAACACCAGACGAGCCACAGGTGCATTGCTGGCCTTTTAAAAAGGAATACGCTCTTTTCTTGAAGGTCTATACGAACTACAACTATGGCTCACTCGCGCTCGTGAGGAAAGAACTATAACTAAATAAATAATGGTTTACGCACGTAAATATACTGAGTATCGAGCGCGTTCGTCGCTCGGATTGGTTGGTTCCTTGGAGACGGCCAATCAGAGCACCGAACGTGTACTACTCTTACGTCACGAATGCGATAGTTATTCGTGCTTGGCACTCTGACGTAAGCTAGTTTCGAGTCACAGAGGGACTCTTATGAGCAGCGTCACGACGTCGCCGTAGGTTTACCTGAGTAATGTCAGAATACTCAAACGCTACTCAATTTTAAGTCGCGCTCAAGTATAGTTCTGTCTCCACATATTCTTTGTAAAATGACAGAGATGGCACGATATTTAAGCACGACTTAAAATTGAGTAACGTTTCAGTATTCCGGCATAAATCGTTATTTTTTAGTTAATTCACACACGTACATATAAACTATACACTGAAACATACATCACATACATATAGACACAAGTTCGATACAGCAACACCTTTAGAAGTACTAGTAGCCGAAATTAAGAAACTATCTTCTCCACTTATCTGTGCCTTTAGCCAATCGCCACTTAGCGCTTGTCTACCGAGAGAGTAAAAAACTAAATGTATGGGGATGACACTGACAAGTGTCAAAATTTACGTCAATTCCATATGATTTGGTTTTCTATTCTACATGTAGACAAGTGCTAAGTGGCATTTGGCTACAGTTGCTGGGTTCTTGACAATAACTCTATACAATTAATGTCAAAATTCAAACTCGAAACTCAAAAGCATTTATTTCAATTAAACCATAATTTGGTACTTTTGAAACGTGAACAAATATGAAATAAATAATAGTCTGTCAGTCCGTCAGTGAAGTTAGGCGCTCGTTCCAAAATGTAGATTCGAGTAGAGAAGAACGAGAAAGAAACTCCATTCGTTACTCTTTTAAAAAAATCGTGTTTTACAATGTCTTTGATACATATTCCAATATTGTACTATTGTATACATATATGTGAGAACAATGTAAAGACACGCTTCATCAAATTCAAATATCTTTATTATCAATCCTAATCGAAAGATTTCAGGTTCAGGGTATTTACCCTTGAAACCAATCTCAATGTCAATGCCATTTTAATCCAATAAAATGTCAATAATTATTCAAAGTCAAAACTATACGACCCCTATCGTAGCTGTTAAAATAGCATTCAGAGTATGGAATATAAAACCAAACTCAATACCATTTAGTTAATTCAATATCCACGCAATACGGGTTTAATGGGCACTAGTGTCGCAACTCAATAGTATGAAATTTTACAATACCAATCAATCGGAATTGGATTCGAGAGTAAGCCCCCTAATCGGTTATTTTTAAATGGTCGTTTTTATACCGGATTCAAATAGAGGGTGTTAGTGATTATAGAGATTTGATATAAAGCATTTGTATACGTCTGGTATTGTAGGTCGTAATGGAGGAAGCAGGTTTTGTTATGAAACTACCTACTCCCGCGCAGTTCACCCTCTCTACTCGGCTCCTATAGGTCGTAGTGTGATGTTTTAAGGCATATAGCTATCTCCAGTAATAAAAAATAAGTCTATCTAACACAATAACAATTATTAAATTTGGATCAGTAAACAAACGATAAATTAACGTAAATTGTTTTAATGCCTGCCTCATTGGCCTAACGGTCGCAATTGCGACGGTGGCAACGGGTCTCGGGTTCGATTCCCGGGTCGGGCAAAGTATTACTGCGTTTTTTAAACATCTCAGTAATAGCACGGAGTCTGGAAATGTGCCCGGTATATTCCAATAGGCTCACCCCCTATGACATGGGACTCATAACATAAATAGTCGAAAGTGGGTGTTACATTGTACAGTGGTATTAAGTGCCGTAATGTGCACCTCTCTGCCTACCCCTTGGGGGATAAAAGACGTGATGTTATGTGATGTTTTAATGCAACTGATATGATAGATACCGAATAATAAATAAACCAATTCTAAAATAGAGAGTGCGAGAATAAAATTAACGGTACGCCAGTTTCACAAATAAATACCATTTTCATAAGTAGAAGTATGTTTGAAAAAGATAGGAAGAAAAGTTGATAGACGTCACACACAGTATACTGATATGTATAGGTATGAATAGATATCGAATATTTGACGCTGAAGTCTTTGATATTAAGTTATTTATATAATATAGTAATAAAAGTTCTAAATGTAATATGAGAACAAAGTATTCTCCCCCCTCTATATAACAATTTGAACTTTATTCCAGAGGTCGTAGAATTTATAAATGTTTATTAAGGTACAAAGAGGTTATTTGTCGTTTGTTTTTGATTAGGAATAACGGGTTGGGTTCTAAAGTTGATAAGAATATAACAAATGAATAATAATACGAGTAGGTAGACGACACACACGCATTTACATAATTCAAATTAACTTACAAATTAATGTTTTAAAAAAATGTTGATTCGTTTTGTCAGATGGTGTACCTAATATATTAAAAACTAGCTGCCTGCCCCAGTTTCGCCCAGGTGCTATATTCAGATCTTCCCGATACATGTATCGGATCTTTCTTTTAGACTAACTTTGTCTTAACAATAACGAATACGACAACAAAGTAATAATCCAATTGCGTACTTACCTTAATCAAAAATAATTTATTTTGTTTGTTCAATACAATATAATATTACAAAATAATCACCATTTCATTAATTGATTCGATGACCAACTTAAATTTAGTATTATTCCAGTACAGTTTTAAGAAATAAGTATGCTGTTTGACGCTAAAAATACGTGACGTCACAATACACAATCTCGTACAAAATTCATAGAAAACTGTCGTTGATGACAGTTCGAATAGAAGTATTGAATTTGACTAGTTGGCAAATACCCAATTTGATGCAATCATTTGATCTTCTTTGATCGAAGAGTCAAGTGTGACGTATACTGTTGATTGTTGAAATGTTCAATTTTCATTGGAACCTTCTTTAATAGTCGCTTACATAATATGTACAAAAACTAGTGAGTTGCAATGGGTGGGAACTGGGATAACATTTTTGATTGTTTAATCGTAACGAGTACGCGTTCGGCGCTCTGATTGGTTGCTTAATTGGCGCCGGCCAATCAGAGTGCCGAACGCGTAAACGTGTCGAATACTTTAAACGTAAATCAGTACTCGTACTAAGGCCTCTGACATGTCAACACTTTTTTAAAACATTCAAATAAAAAAAACACAAGTACATTTTAATACATTAACTTAATTTTTATCGCGTTACTTAGTATAATTAGGACGAATTAACTATACAATTATACACATTTTTATTAATCATTTTATTAATACGATCTGTTAGTCAATGTTTATCATTTTTTTATTAATGTTTTTTGCGTACCGTACTTAATATTATCGTAATTTAAAATACATCAAATTGTAGATTTTTTCACATTTCAAGCTCAATATTTGTACTTTTTTTAGCTGGAATTATGTAAGAATTAATTGATGAGAAAATCTACTATTTGTTTAATGTGTTTATAGATTTGAGTGATTTTGTCTTAGAAATTATAAGTACAAGAATTAATAATAAGCAAATACTACATTACTCATGTAACTATTTTGAGGAATGTGCTCGACTGATTTCAAGCCACCAGAGGCCCATAATCTTGAGCAGATTAAAATCACTTAAATCTATGACCATCTTATAGTTATAAGGTCCTAGTAAACAGAACTGCCTCCATAGTCAAATTAATAATAAAAACAAGAGAAATAATCACACGTTTCTTCCTTAGGAAATTCTATTCAGTGTTGCCAGTTATGTCAATAATAATGTGGTGTTGTCATGTTAAAATTTGATAGTCGATTATTTAAGTCGAATAATCGGATAAGATGAAGAATGAATTAGCTATTGTTTTGGCAGCTTTTAAGTGGTTAATAACCACATTTTATAAAACAGTTTTATAATTAATTATAATTATTATGTATAATATGACAATATCACATTTTATTTTGAACATTTTTGATATAATAAATAGATAATATTAGACATACAATTGAATTGAATAATTTATAATAGTAGCATGTTCGAGGCTAACTTTGTTTGCAAGTTACAGTCAAATCAGTTTTAAAATATTTAATTAATTATAAGTATTACAATTATGGACTGAGGTATTTAAATTTTGACTCTTGACTGCTTGAAATGAGGTTCATTATCCATTGACAGATCCCAACGAATAATAGCTCTTATGTTCTCATTAAATAAAATGAGTAGATCAGTTTTATATCGATATAAATAAACAAAGTCTAAACATGTCATTTTTAAGACTGGCAACTGACTGTCAAGCAGTCAAAATGTCAATACACAATAAGTCGCGGTGACAGTTTTATCTCGAAGTATTTTACAATTTATAACATTGTTTAAATTAAAATAAGAATAATAATTGAAGACATATTGATGCCTTTCATGAGTACAATTTCATAATAGATGCAATATAGTAGTTAAGATTTTAAGTAAAACATGCATGGAAAAATATCGTACGACAAAGTTCAGTCACTGCCAAAAACTAAACAAATATTTAATTGATAGTTATTTATTTGTACGATGTCTTTTTTCATGCACTTTTTACATGTTCATGTAATTCGTTAAGAAAGTAAGTGGACTGTTAAAATTCTATCACATTAAACAGGAATTTTCCAAAATTTTTCACTTTTGTTTCATTTTTAACCTTAATCACTAACCTTAACTTGTCTTCCAATGGGTGATTCAATTGACACAATCTGCTTACCATTATTATGTTAACTGGAATATGGCAATACTGTGTGATGTAAATATTTGTTTATTTTGATAATTTCTAACGAAAAACTTGTACAATTGATAAACTTTCATTATTGTTGATGTGATTATTGACGAAAACAATCATTTTATTGTCTACAATTAATTTACTGTCTAAAGCTATAAAATCTATTTATTTACCATCCAACAAATTGTCCTACTAAACAGTGATACACAATACAAAATTTAACTTCGTGCTCTTTCCCCCCAAAATAACTGTCAAAATTGACATTATTGAACAGTATTGCCATACTCGTCCATAAGAAAAGTTATTAAATTGAAAATCGACTAAATGAGTTGATGTTTGTTTCTGGTGACAGATGTGTCGTTGAGTCGCGCCGTGAACCGACTGATCCGAGCCGACGAAGCTCTCTTCCAAACCACTCCGGAAAAGAGAAGGAAAAAGATATAATTCGTCCTACGGTATCGAAGAAACTGCTGTGTCCTACTAAAGAAATATATAGGTTTATTTTTATTTTTTTCTCTTTTTTTATTCTAGGTTCTCTCACAACCCTACTCAGAGTCGTTTATTGGTTACTAGCTCATTTTACCACTCCATCTGTGTAGGATAACAACTTAGGCAGTTTTTGAAACATTATAATATAGTCTATATTATTTAATAAAGATTTTAAAGATACAGTTTTTTAGTGGTGAAGGATTTTTTAAATCGGTCGAATTTTTATGTGAAGTCATTACGAAAGTATATACTAAAATACGAATGTTTCCTACCTGTAATATTAGGTAGTATATATTTAAGTCATTCCTGAGCAATATTTTTCGAAACTATAAGGTTACATAATACTAAAGAACAGTTTCAGTAATGATTAAATATCTCTGAGTAAGACAGTTACATTTTTAAAATGATAAACTTCTAAATAATAATAAACAAAACTAATACAATAGTGTAAGCATGAAATATTGTCACAAATAGGAAGTTTTTTATATTGTTTACGGGACACTTTAGATGCCAGGCCTAAAGCATATTTCGGGACTTAGTAAGTATATACAGGCCTATGAGGCCTTGTTTAGTCTTGATAGACTATAGTTATTACGTATTTTTCTGTTTTCTAAATAATTAGAAAAGCTATTGAGATTTTTTATGTACCATTCCATGTACGTACTATTTTGTTAAGACGGGCTCGATTTAAAATTACTTATAATATGATTTCTTCAACTTACCATTTATGGTTTTAAAGAGATGATTAGCTAACAGTAAACATAAACACATTATTCTTAAAACATAGAAAAGTAAGTAATTTGACAAAATAACCTCAGCGCAAAATGAAATGCGCAAAATTGATGCAGTGAAAGATTTTTGCGCAACTATTTTTACATTTCTATAATTCAGATTATTGTAATCGGACATTTATTGAAATCTATTAATATGACATTATGCATTTATAATATACAATAGCTTTATATGTTACAGACTAAGCTAGTATTTGAGATTTTTTCAGTAAGAATGTAAAGTTGAACTTAAACTTCTATTTGGTTGTAATTCTTTGTTATTAATTGTCTGTGATTAATAATAATTTTATTATTTTTCCTATTAAGGTTAATTTTGAATAAGTGGATAATTCTTTTTTTTATATAATTTAGTCTTTAAGTGTCTACAAAATTAAAATGCTTTTTATAAGATTTTGAAATTAGAGTTCATAAAATAGAAGATCTGATTACTTTTTTTATAGCTCGGTTTTCGTGCTCTCTTGTGTAACCGTGAACTAAACGTAAAAAGGTTTTTATAATCATATTCAATGAGGCGTTTTACGCAATGTTGCCAGATGATCGTAAAAATAATTCTCCCTAGTTTATTGGTAATATTATGAAAGGTATTACAGAATCGTTAAAATCATTATCGTTCTTTTACGGAAAAGGGACGACGGTAATGGTCCTGTCTGGCTTCATAGCTCTATTGTACCATTCTGGATTTTTAACGTAAATATGTAAAGCTTAGATTGTAGCTGCGTATGTATCTTGGAAACAATAAATGATTACTTATAATTATTTTGTTTGATTTTAAAGTTGAAAGTGATTTGCACTTAAGAAACAGGTTCGATTCCTGCTAGAAATCTTACAGAAACTGTAAGGTGTCAAGAACTCTCGAAGTCAGCTCGATCGCGGTCCGCCATGTTGGTTGTGAGAATAATCTCGACCAATGCCGGGCGAGAATGCAATCGAGTTGACTTCGAAAGTTAGAATTGATATCTTACAGAGTAGGCTAGCTCAGCTATGAAGGCGAAAATAACTATCACTAGTTTTTACCCGCGGCTTCGCTCGCATCACAAAAGGATAAAAAGTAGCCTATTTGACTATCCATCCCTTCAACTTCAGTTAAAAAATCACGTTAATTAGAACCTCCGTTTTACCGTTTAACCTTTTCACCGCCACGCCATATCGGTATTCCTATGCCCTGTACGCCAAGCCCGAAAATCTTAATTAAAGGTGTATCAATAAAATACATAAAAGTAATGATTTAATAGGTTTATTTTGTATTTTTCTGCGACCTGTTTTTTGTCGAGTATAGCCGTCGTTGGCGCACAGGTTAAGATGGGCAAACAAACAAATAGCTTTAGCTTTAGCGACTTAAAACGAAAAAACAATAACTACTTTAGATAATAATATCTGCCTAGAAATAAAACACTTAACTAATCTAGCCTATTATTGAGCGAGCGAAAAATATCAATCACAGTGCTGGATGCTTAGTTACTTCATTGACGTTATGATTTCGTGTAGGTAAACGTTACCACGTGGTAACGTTTGGTAAACGTTTTTGATTACCCAGCGCCATCTATCGCTAAGTAGCGTTACTACTACGAACATACCAATTAGTAATTCATTGACTTATAAACAGCAAAAAAATAAGTCAAAAAGTGCACCCAATATACTTATTTACGAGCGATTAGACTATATTTTATAGATTATAGGTTGTTAAAGGAATACCTTTACTACCTCGAAATACACAAATTAATCTTAAATGGTAGGAAAACACACTTAAAAGTGTCAGCGCCATCTATCGCTCAGTAGCGTAACTACTACAACACAAATTAGTAATTCGTTGACTTATAAACACGACAAATAAATTAGTCGAAAAGTGCATCGAATGAGTACCTTTAACAACCTATGATTTATAAAACACACAATTTTATGTTAAACGGTAGAAACCAAAATTTAAAAGCAAAAAATACTTAAAAAAACAACGTTACCAAATTCATCTAAGTGCCAGCGCCATCTATCGCTCAGTAGCGTAACTACTACAACACAAATTAGTAATTCGTTGACTTATAAACACGAAAAATAAATTAGTCGAAAAGTGCACCGAATAAGAACCTTTAATAATCTATAAAATACACAATTTAATATTAAATGGTAGGAATCAAAATTTAAAAGCGAAAAGTACTTAAAAACACAACGTTACCAAGTTTTGTGTAGCGCCAGCGCCATCTATCGCTAAGTAGCGTAACTGCTACATAGACACCAATTAGTAATTCGTTGACTTATAAACAGCAAATAAATAAGTCGAAAAGTGCTTCCAATAAGTACCATTAACAACCTATAATCTATAAAATACACAAATTAATCTTAAATGGTAGGAAAACACACTTAAAAAACACAACGTTACCAAATTTTTAAAAGTGTCAGCGCCATCTATCGCTAAGTAGCGTAACTACTACATAGCCACCAATTAGTAATTCGTTGACTTATAAACAGCAAATAAATAAGTCGAATAGTTCACCGAATAAGTACCTTTAACAACCTATAATCTATAAAATACACAATCTAATCTTAAATGGTAGGAAAACACACTTAAAAAACACAACGTTACCACGTGGTACCGTTTGGTAAACGTTATTAAAATACCCAGGGCCATCTATCGCTAAGTAGCGTGACTACTACCAACACACCAATTAGTAATTCGTTGACTTATAAACAGCAAATAAATAAGTCGAAAAGTGCACCGAATAAGTACCTTTAACAACCTATAATCTATAAAATACACAAATTAATCTTAAATGGTAGGAAAACACACTTAAAAAACACAACGTTACCACGTGGTACCGTTTGGTAAACGTTATTAAAATACCCAGGGCCATCTATCGCTAAGTAGCGTGACTACTACCAACATACCAATTAGTAATTCGTTGACTTATAAACAGCAAATAAATAAGTCGAAAAGTGCACCGAATAAGTACCTTTAACAACCTATAATCTATAAAATACACAAATTAATCTTAAATGGTAGGAAAACACACTTAAAAAACACAACGTTACCACGTGGTACCGTTTGGTAAACGTTATTAAAATACCCAGGGCCATCTATCGCTAAGTAGCGTGACTACTACCAACATACCAATTAGTAATTCGTTGACTTATAAACAGCAAATAAATAAGTCGAAAAGTGCATCGAATAGATACCTATAACAACCTATAGTCTATAAAAACACAATTTGATCTTTAGTGGTAGGAACCAAAATTTAAAAGCGAAACATACTTAAAAAACAGCGATACCAAGTTTTTTAAAGGGCCAGCGCCATCTATCGCTAAGTAGCGTAACTACTACATAGCCAATTAGTAAGATGTCAAGAACTCTCGAAGTCAGCTCGATCGCGGTCCGCCATGTTGGTTGTGAGAATAATCTCGACCAATGACGGGCGAGAATGCAATCGAGTTGACTTCGAAAGTTAGAATTGATATCTTACAGAGTAGGCTAGCTCAGCTATGAAGGCAAAAATAACTATTACTAGTTTTTACCCCCGGCTTCGCTCGCGTCACAAAAGGATAAAAAGTAGCCTATTTGACTATCCATCCCTTCAACTTCAGTTAAAAAATCACGTTAATTAATACCTCCGTTTTGCCGTTTAAGACAGGCAAACAAACAAATAGCTTTAGCTGTAGCGACTTAAAACGAAAAACCAATAACTACTTTAGATAATAATATCTACCTAGAAATAAAACACTTAACTAATCTAGCCTATTATTGAGCGAGCGAAAAATATCAATCACAGTGCTGGACGCTTAGTTACTTCATTGACGTTATGATTTCGTGTAGGTACCTTTAACAACCTAAAATCTGTCAAATACACAATTTAACGTAAAATGGTAGAAAAACACACTTAGAAACACAACGTTACCACGTGGTAACGTTTGGTAAACGTTTTTGATTACCCAGCGCCATCTATCGCTAAGTAGCGTTACTACTACGAACATACCAATAAGTAATTCGTTGACTTATAAACAGTAAATAAATAAGTCGAAAAGTGCACCGAATAAGTACCTTTAACAACCTATAATCTATAAAATACACAATCTAATCTTAAATGGTAGGAACCAAAATTTAAAAGCGAAAAATACTTAAAAAAACTCAGCGTTACCAAGTTTTATGTAGGGCCAGCGCCATCTATCGCTCAGTAGCGTAACTACTACAACACAAATTAGTAATTTGTTGACTTATAAACACGACAAATAAATGAGTCGAAAAGTGCACCGAATAATTTAACATTAAATTGTGTGCTTTATAAATCATAGGTTGTTAAAGGTACTTATTCGATGCACTTTTCGACTAATTTAATTGTCGTGTTTATAAGTCAACGAATTACTAATTTGTTGGAGTAGTTGCGCTACTTAGTGATAGATGGCGCGGGCCCTTCTTAAAACTTGGTAACGCTGAGTTTTATTAAGTATTTTTCGCTTTTAAATTTTGGTTCCTACCATTTAAGATTAATTTGTGTATTTTATAGATTATAGGTTGTTAAAGGTACTTATTGGGTGCACTTTTCGACTTATTTATTTGCTGTTTATAAGTCAACGAATTACTAATCGGTATGTTCGTAGTAGTAACGCTACTTAGCGATAGATGGCGCTGGGAATCAAAAACGTTTACCGAATAAGTACCTTTAACAACCTATAATCTATAAAATACACAATCTAATCTTAAATGGTAGGAACCAAAATTTAAAAGCGAAAAATACTTAAAAAAACTCAGCGTTACCAAGTTTTATGTAGGGCCAGCGCCATCTATCGCTCAGTAGCGTAACTACTACAACACAAATTAGTAATTTGTTGACTTATAAACACGACAAATAAATGAGTCGAAAAGTGCACCGAATAATTTAACATTAAATTGTGTGCTTTATAAATCATAGGTTGTTAAAGGTACTTATTCGATGCACTTTTCGACTAATTTAATTGTCGTGTTTATAAGTCAACGAATTACTAATTTGTTGGAGTAGTTGCGCTACTTAGTGATAGATGGCGCTGGCCCTTCTTAAAACTTGGGAACGCTGAGTTTTATTAAGTATTTTTCGCTTTTAAATTTTGGTTCCTACCATTTAAGATTAATTTGTGTATTTTATAGATTATAGGTTGTTAAAGGTACTTATTCGGTGCACTTTTCGACTTATTTATTTACTGTTTATAAGTCAACGAATTACTTATTGGTATGTTCGTAGTAGTAACGCTACTTAGCGATAGATGGCGCTGGGTAATCAAAAACGTTTACCAAACGTTACCACGTGGTAACGTTGTGTTTCTAAGTGTGTTTTTCTACCATTTTACGTTAAATTGTGTATTTGACAGATTTTAGGTTGTTAAAGGTACCTACACGAAATCATAACGTCAATGAAGTAACTAAGCATCCAGCACTGTGATTGATATTTTTCGCTCGCTCAATAATAGGCTAGATTAGTTAAGTGTTTTATTTCTAGGTAGATATTATTATCTAAAGTAGTTATTGGTTTTTCGTTTTAAGTCGCTACAGCTAAAGCTATTTGTTTGTTTGCCTGTCTTAAACGGCAAAACGGAGGTATTAATTAACGTGATTTTTTAACTGAAGTTGAAGGGATGGATAGTCAAATAGGCTACTTTTTATCCTTTTGTGACGCGAGCGAAGCCGGGGGTAAAAACTAGTAATAGTTATTTTTGCCTTCATAGCTGAGCTAGCCTACTCTGTAAGATATCAATTCTAACTTTCGAAGTCAACTCGATTGCATTCTCGCCCGTCATTGGTCGAGATTATTC